CCGGCTGGCTCCGGGCTGCTGCCACATTTCCCGGGGACAGATTTGCAAATCTGGAGACATTCCCCGGGAACAGGGGACATCTGGTAACCCTACCTTACAGAAGCTAAGTAGGTCTTGGTCTGGTCCATGTCAGGATGGGAGACACCTTAGAAATCTGCTCTATGCTACCGTAAGCTCCACGACGGCAAAAGGTTAGAGATAACCGAGTGTCAGAAGAATCATGTACATAAGAACAGCCTGCTTGCCCACTGAGTCCAGCCTTCTGTTCTTCACATTGTCTACCCAGGTACCTGTGGGAAACCTGCAAGCACAAAAGCTCTCTCCCCTCCTGAGGTTTCCAGAAGCTAGAATCAGAAGCGCTGCTGCCTTTGACCATACAGTGGAACCTCGGGTTGCGAACGTGATCCATGCGGGAGGCATGTTCGCAACCCGTAGCATTCGCAACCCGCAGCGCCGCGTCTGCGCATGTGCGGGCCGTGATTCGGTGCTTCTGTACATGTGCAAAGCACGATTTGGTGTTTCTGCACATGCACAAGCGCCGAAACCCGGAAGTAGCCTGTTCCAGTACTTCTGGATTTGGCGCGGTGCGCAACTCGAAATCGCGTAACCTGAAGCGTCTGTAACCCGAGGTACCACTGTAAAGGCAAAGCCAAGTCATCATGACAAGCAGGTATTGATAGTTTTCTTGTCCATGGATTTGTCCAAACCTCTTTCAAAGCCATTTCAAAGTTTGTGGCCACCACTGCCTCTTGTGGGAGCAACTTGCATTGGTTTAACTATTTGCGCTGCGTGAAGGAAGACTTTCTTTTGCAAGTCCCAGATCTTCCAACATTAAGCTTCACTGACTGTCCATGAGAGAGGAAAAATCTCTCTCTGCTTTCTCCCTGCCTTGTGTAATTTTATAAGCTTCCTTCATGTGGCAGAAGTTTCCCCTAAACTAAAAGTCTGAAATACTGCAACCTTTCTCAGTAGTGGAGTTGCTCCTCACAGAGTTACAATTCCCAGCAAACTACACTGCCCAGAATTCTTTGAGGGAAATAATGTGCTGTAAAATGTAAACAGCTGCGATTTAGATGGACAAAAAGCTGCTTTGTAGTATTCCAGGTCAGAACTTCCTCTTCTTAGAGAACCCTTTATTTCCCCCTTTTTCCATCAGGCTGCCAGATCTTGTGCTTTTTATCAGGTCTTATGATTCTGTACTCACCCTGTCATAACCACAAAAATAAAATTTTAAATACCAACCCCCACACAATCCCCATTATCTCCCTCCTTTTCTGGAGTTGACAGAAGAGGGCTGGCAATCTAACAAGCCTTCATAAGCAGGAAGGAGAAGGAAGCTTGATTCTGTGAAGACTATTTAGGGAATAATAAGGTTTGGGGATAGAAGACTTTTGCTAACTCTTGCTTGATAATGCATGAAAATACCTCCCAATCCCTGATGTAAAATTACTTCTCTCTCATTATGTTTGTGGTTTCTGCAAATGTACCTGATCACCTTCATCTCTTCCTGCCTCATGATTTAAAATGGGGGGGGGGACATCTGGCCCCCCAGGAGTTTGAATTTGGCCCATGATGCTGACACTTAACCCATCCCAATGCAATGTCTTATGAGACATCAGGTGTGTAGCAGATGTCTCTGCCAATGCACAATTGGGAGCCTTAATATGCAATCCTGATTGTGCATTGTTGTTTAGTCATTTAGCCGTGTCCGTCTCTTCATGACCCCATGGACCAGAGCACGCCAGGCACTCCTGTCTTCCACTGCCTCCCGCAGTTTGGTCAGACTCATGATGGTAGCTTTGAGAACACTGTCCCACCATCTCGTCCTCTGTCATCTCCTTCTCCTTGTGCCCTCCATCTTTCCCAACATCAGGGTCTTTTCCAGGGAGTCTTCTCTTCTCATGAGGTGGCCAAAGTCTTGGAGCCTCAGCTTCAGGATCTGTCCTTCCAGTGAGCACTCAGGGCTGATTTCCTTAAGAATGGATAGGTTTGATCTTCTTGCAGTCCATGGGACTCTCAAGAGGCTCCTCCAGCACGATAATTCAAAAGCATCAATTCTTCGGTGATCAGCCTTCTTTATGGTCCAGCTCCCTTGGAGTTCAAAACAAAGCAGGGCAAAGGCTAATAGAGTTCTGTCAAGAGAACAAGCTGGTCATCACAAGCACTCTTTTCCAACAACACAAGAGACGACTCTACACATGGACATCACCAGATGGGCAGCATCAACCACGCATCAGTGTTAAACTCTCCAAAGTGGATAATGTTAAAAAAGCCAAGTGTAATGCACCCTATTATAATGATAATCATATTATTTTAAGCATGGGACCATGTCATACTTCTGTATGCAGAATAATTGTGACATACATTTCAACAACAGCAGTGGTTCTCAAATTATAGGGGCAGACTGCCCTTGGCAGAACACCGCAGAGCAGGAGGATGCAGTGTCACAGGGGTGCATAGGTTTCTTTTTAGAAAAAAGTTTTTATTTATACTTTTCAAGTTTATACATTTCATTAGTTTTACAATCATTTTAACATTTCAAAACTTGACTTCCTTCCCCTTCTCTCTGCGGTTCCTTGAATTTATTTTTTAATATCTTCTGCATATCCAAATTCATTTAATTTGCTCATTTAATTATCTACTTTAAAATACACTCTTATGAAACTGCAGGTTATTACAAAAATCCTGCCAATGTTTCCATCTGTTTGCAATTTATCTGCAAATATTCAATAAACCATTTCCATTCTTTTACAAAAAGTTTGTTATCTTGATTTCTTATTCTTCTGGTAAGTTTCGCCATTTCTGCATGTTCCATAAGTTTTTGTATCCATTCTTCCTGTGCTGGGACTTCTGCTTCTTTTCACTTTGGGGCAAGTAGCTTTCTTGCTGCTGTAGTAGCATAGCATACATAAATAAATTTCGATACAATTTAGGTAATTCTGTCCTTATAATTCCCAAAAGAAAAGCTTCTGGTTTGTTTGTTTTTTACAAAAGTTATTTTGAACACCCTCTTCAATTAATTGTATATCATTTCCCAGTGCATAAGTTTCTAAGGCCATCCTCCTCTGAGCAGCCTGGAAAGGTGGTGGCAAGCTCTTGCTAGAACAGCTGCATTGATCCACATGGGAATTATGGGGCCAACTGCATCCGCCTTACCCCATTACCACCACCCAGTGTTCAAGAACTGCTGCCATTTAGTTCTAATGGTCATTCAGTTGTGGTTTTAGGAGGGGAGTCAATGATGCCATGCTCTGTTTTAATGCAAGTGACTTGGTACCCTTTTCTACAGAGCTCACATCTAGCAGCAGGGTGCATGCTATTGCACATGAAGATCCCTCTGTTCACCAACATTGTCAGTGCTGAATTGGCAGGAGAACCAAAATTTATGGGTAAATCCTGAATAAGAGGGTGGGTTTAAATATCCAAAGACTGGAGAGAAGGCATATGAACTGTTGAGAACCTTTCAAAGTTCTTCCCGGCCTCCGTTTCCTTGCCATCACCTACTCCTTACTACAGTTTTCTCATTACTCTTGTTTTCCCTGACATCGCCTACTCATTACTATAGTGGTGCCTGGCGGCCAAGCCCATTTATCTAGCTTTAACAAGAAAAACCAGATTTTCCGCCTTGGTTAGAAAGAAAACTCCACCCGAGTTTTCTCTTAAACAGATTTGTTGACCAAGAAACAGAGGCAGTGCTGGATCACAAATTAGTATGTCTGGGGTTGGTAGGACAGTTTTCACTGGAACAGCTTGGGAACCTCCAAGCTTCTGCACAAACGGTGGGGAGAGAATCCATTAAGGAGTCCAAGGATGGGAAGCCTGTGGCTTGCCAGATGTGGCAGGACTACAGTTCCCCATAATTCCTGAGCTTTGGCTAGGCAGCTAGGCTAGCTGGGGCTGATGGGAACTGGAGTCCAACAACTTGTTGAGGGCTACAGGTTCCTTGCTGCTGCATTGAGCTGTTGTGCATTCCCTTTGTTTAGCATTTTAATGTAACTTTGGTTGCTGTTAACATTCATTTTCATAGAAGAACTTAGGAGAATTAAAATGCTTGCGGCAACATCTTTTGAAGTACAGTGGTACCTCGGGTTAAGTACTTAATTCGTTCCGGAGGCCCGTTCTTAACCTCAAACTGTTCTTAACCTGAAGCACCACTTTAGCTAATGGGGCCTCCCGCTGCTGCCACGCCGCCAGAGCACGATTTCTGTTCTCATCCTGAAGCAAAATTCTTAACCCGAAGTACTATTTCTAGGTTAGCGGAGTCTGTAACCTGAAACGTATGTAACCGGAAGCGTATGTAACCCGAGCTACCACTGTACTCTTTGGTCCCATCTAGGACTGCGATATGGCCGGAATTTCCTGGACATACACAGGGTTCCTCTGTCAAAAACGGCGTCCGGGCATATGGCAACCCTATCAGAAGTGTCATTTATTTGCCTCCCCCCCCCCCCCCCAAATAAAGCTCAACAACTTTTGTGTCTGGATTTTCACTTTTTCAAATATGGCAACCCAAGTTCCATCTATATCAGACTTAATCTCAAATCTATGCCAATAATGATGGCAGATGAAATTGATGGACTACATGGAATTGGCGGAAATGACTGGCAGAATCCGAGACCAGGGAGAAGAGTCGGTGGAAGAAGATTGGAAGAAATTTAAAGACTATCTACAGAAACACTGCAAAATTAATGAATGTTAGAATGATGTTGGATTGAAGTTAAGTGGTTTCTAGCTGTACTGGTATAAAAGAATATGGAAAAATTGGTTTTTAATACGTAAAAATTTAATGTTATAATATATCAAGAGTAAAGATCAGGATTAAAAGGAGGGAAAGGAATTGCTGGACTAACAAACTGAATTGGAATACAAAAGAGGGAGGTATGAGGAGATCCGGGAAACAAGTAAACGTAAGAGAAGTGATGAAAAGATGGAATTGTTTTTAACTGTTTTTTCTTTCTTGTACTTTGTATTTTTCCTTCTTTATTGTTATTTTTCTTATTAATGTAATCTTTTTCTTCTGAAATTTTAATAAATATTTTTTTAAAAAAACAACAAATCTATGCCAATAATGTGCTGCCATCTGGTGGCTCCATTACGACCCATCGTCCAGCATTGTACACTGGAGGCGCATTACATTAAGGCTCCAAGCATCTGGGTGCTACAACTTTTCCAAACCTCCTAAAAGGGGTTCATGGACTATTTTCAAGGTAACAACTGGGAGATGTGTTAAGACACTTCCCAGGTCTGTTATATCTCAAGACATTTAAGCACTTTGGTATGTCACGTCAGCACCGTGAACTGTCCCTTAGCAGGCTGTTAATGAGTGTGTTCAAGTGATGAACTTTTACAGCTTGAGTTCTCCTTACAGCTGTAGATGCAGGAGACCTCACACAAAGGCCACAGGTGGGACTGAGTTCTGTCTCCTGCCCCTAGCCAAGTCCATTCTGTATAGCATCTCTTTTTAAAAAATAGGCACCTGCCAAGTGAACTAACACCACCCCTTCCAAAGGCTTTTTGGACTGGTTACTTGTGGTGCAATACGAAATTACTTTGCCAGTCACATGCCTAGTCCCACTTGCCACCAAAACAATTTGCTGCCCTTAGAATCAGCTGATGATCCTGCTGCTTTGGTTGCATGCAGCAGTCCCCATCAGGGGAACTGCAGGGCCCGGCCAAATGGAAAGGGATGTACAGGAATGGGCACGGCCGTCAAAGAATTGAGCCACATCCACCAGCACATATCACCAGGACAACAGCAGAGGAGTGTGGTTCTGTGGAAATGGCCTCATTAACCAAAATGGATCCTCTGGAAGGCCAAGATTGCTCTGCCAGCTGGGGGTTCCTAAAACTATCGGGACATCTGAGCTATTCTAGATTTAAAAGTGTGGAGAACACACCGTGGTGCTCAAGTCCTAATGGTGGAGTGGTACAAAGACCAGAGCTTGCAGTCAGTCGCCCCATCACTTTCTTGCAAGGTCTGCTGCTATTTCATGGTGTGCCAACCATGCGGAATTCACACCTGTTTTCTCAAACAGCACCGGTTAATTTGCACCTTGGGCAATCATTCCTGTCCTATTTATACCGCTAATGCAATGGCAACTTAAGTTTCTGCTGTTCCTCTGCATTGTGCCAGTGCAGAACAAAATAGAGCACTTATCTCTTATGCCCCAGCATTATGATGGGAGTGGAAAATGGAAAGAAGAAAAAAATTCCATTTGAAAAGGACACGTGTCTAGACAGCACAAGCACTTGCTCAGTTTTCAGAACCATTTGCAACATGGGTGGGAAACCCATTCTAGTCGGTCAACAACTCCCAGCACCCGATTAATTGGCCATGCCAGTTGGAGTTGATGGACTTGCCAGACACCAATAGCTAGAGGACCACCGGTTCCTTTTGGCCCTGATCTACAAAGTTGTTTTATTCTTAGTGGGTAGAAGCCAAGTAATTCTTCTAGCCTATCTTGACTGCCAGACTATATATTCAATTGCATTTTCATAGCTGCATCTGCAGTGTTTTTGAATAGCAGCTGTACTGCACCCCCACTGCCAAGATCGCAACCACAGCAGATGGAAGGGAATTTTACCTTCATCCCATGCTAGTCTGGATAAAATTGCCCTCTGAAAGCCATTTGCCCTTGGCCTGGAAACATAAGCACTGCAGTTTCAGTGGTACTTGTTAGACACTGGCACTCTGTACACACTAACAGCACTGTGGGGGGGTGAGAGAAGAGCTAAGAAACTGCTCCAACAAAATCTGCTTGCTTTGAAATCACCAGTCTTGACTTCCAATGAAAAGAGGAGAGCAAGACAAACCTCTTGATTAGCAGGAAATAGGAGTGGGTTGGCCACCATCTAACTCATTTCATGTTCTCTGTGGCTAGAACAAATTACATTTCTAACACTGAGTTATTACTTAGTTAACCTATTTATTAAATCTGCATACATTTGCAAATAAACATGGTATGCCTGAAGGAGCGTTATTTTCTTTGTTTTCAGATGATGCACGTGTAATAGCAGCATTTTAAAAGATGCATTCCCTGATGCATGAGGAAAAAGAGGGGATACGTCTTTTAAAATGCCAACTTTGTTTTCAGAAATCTGCTGCCCAGTTAATCAGGGACTCCTTTTCAATTCAAAGCTCTCCCCCCACCCCAAACTGTGCTGGTAGACACTAAAGTTGTCCTGGTTTTCTTTCATTACTGTACTTCATGAGCCAACTCTATAGGAGCATTTAAGAAAAAGAGTTTTCTCTCTCTCTCTAAAAAACGCCTCTTTCTAGGCGTGGGATAACCAACTTCAAATAACCAATATGCTCGAAGTCTGATTAATGCATGAAGGTGTTAAAGACCATATCCTGCCAGGCTTAGCTCACCTTGGGAGGAACTAGGTAGTCAAGTCTTTGTTCCTATTGAGTTCACCATGTGAGAACATCTGATCTGGCTGCTCCAGCTCAGACCGCATGGCTCTCACAAACCACGCTCAAGTTCCTATACCAATAATTTAGAAACTTTCACCATTTCATAACTATGCCATGTTTTACTGCCTGTGCAATTTTCTGAAACACATGGATCTGACCTTTGGAGAGTTTGTAAGGAAACTTATTTTGTAACTTACCAAATGTGTGGTCTTTTTTATATGCTGGGGTAAGAGAGAGACTTGGGAGCTCACTTTAAAGGACATATTTTAAAGGTCTAACAGCCTATATTTCCATGCTTTACTTTGCTGCATATTTTGTGATGCTTGTTAACCAAAGGTGAATGAGAAAAATTCAGAAGTCACTTTCCATGCATCCTATTGCTGGCACTGACTCCTCCGAACATGTCAGGATAATTCAGCTGCACTGAAGCCCAGTAGTGGCTGCTGCTGTCGATTCAGTACTTACCTTGAGATATACTTGCCTTGCTGGACCACCTGGACTTGCAGGTTGGACCGATTCAAAATGACGTTTTAGCTTTTAGTGTGCCTACTTGGGGATGGATGGTCTTCAGACCAGGGTCAAGATGTGCTCATTGAGCACTAACTGTAATAAATAGCTTCAGATAAGCACAGATTATGACTCTTGCTCAAGTCATTTTATACGTTTTCACAGGAGTGTGCAAAACTGCAGACGGAATTGGCCCTTCCTGGTTTCCATCCCACCTGCCCTCAACAGGGGCCTGTGTCATGTGCACTGGGTGAAAGAATGAATCTCGGACAACTGAGCAAGCTGGAGACACTTTGGGAAGAAGATCAGGCTTTATTGTTTAAGCCAGACATGTCTGATTTTTTGTTTTTGTTTTAAAACCAAAATAAATAAAAGTCAGGCTGTGAGTTTGAGGGGAGCCCTAGGGTAGCGCTAGCCCTGAACAGGCAACCTCCCTCTCTCCACTGGCCCCTGGCTTTGGCAAAGGTTAGACACTAGGATTTTTCTCTCTCTCTCTGCAGAGCTAAAGAACAAATATTGCAGTCCCACATAAACCCTTTTGTTGACAGCCTACCCCCAAACAGTGGGCATCACTTTTGGAATGTGCTGTTCCCACTAGTGAAGCAGCACAGATTCTTAGATTATAGAAAAGTATTTATTCACAAGATGGCACACTCTTTTGGTATGGCTGGCAGCACACAGAGAAGATAGATGGGGACAGGAGGAAGCTGTATGTCTCTCAGTAATGCCCAGGGGTCAGCCAGATGAATATAAAGCTGGACATCTCCTGTCAAAGACAGCAAAGATGTTAAGGTTTTCTTTTCTCCGAGGGATGGGAAAGCTCCGACATGACATGGCATGGCAGCATACACAGACCACATTCAGAAGCTCAGGAGATTGACACAGAATAGAAACAGGCTTAGGCGGAAGTGCAACAAGTGGGCGCATGCTATGCGTTCTGGCCAAGAGGGTAGGCTCAACCTAGGTCAGAATTTCTCTCTTCAACAGCCTTGCCAATCAAGTCATTGCTGCCATTGCCACCAAATGACATTGTGATGACCGCACGGAGGGGGAAAAAAGGGACAGTCAAAGCACTGAGGTACATTCTATCACTGGCAGACCACTGTGTAATTACTGTGATTGAAAGCAGTTGCCAGATATCAGCAATGGGTTAAAAAAAAGAGCAAGCCAAGAAATGGCATCAATTCCTGTTGCAAAGGCCACAAAGTAGAGGGGGATTGACTGTGGCCATGCTTGAGCCTCTGGACTGCAGGCGGAAGTTATAAGCGTTCCTAAGATCAGTCAGTATATTCCAGTGTGCACACGGATGAGGAAGCAGTAAGAAATCTCACGTGGGATCAATTTTGAGCTATCTTGTTAGCACACTACCTACTGAGAGGTGCCCTGCTCAGGCGACGGCTAGGAAAGCTCCAACACCCAAGGGGCCCCAGAAAGGCAGAAGACTACAGCAACATAAAGTTAGGGAGGTTCACCAAAAAGATCCTTGGAACTACCTCAAAACCCTTTTCTTAAAGCCATAATGTTTAATTGCTTTCACTGTGTCTCTCCCCGCTCCCAAATTAGGGCTGTGTTTGAGAAGCTGTGTAATTCAGGAGAAAGCCAATGAGAAGTAGGTACAAGCTACTTCATAGAAGAAGTGCATGCCGTCCTAAACTCTGCTCAAACAGTCTAAGCACAGAGCTAGGAGAACACAGGGAAAGAATCTATCCAGCGACAAGGATGTTTAGATCCATGTTTGAGCCTCCTGGGACAAGTAAAGTTGTAGCTCCGGTTGTGAATGGGATCCGTTCCGGAGGTCCGGCCGTATCCCGAAGTTTTCGCAACCGGAGAGACTGCTTCTGCGCATGCGCACACGCCAGTAGACCACTTCTGCGCATGTGGCAAAGCACTTCCAGGTTTCCTGCTTTCGCAACCCGAAGTTTACGTTACCCGAGGTTAACATAACCTGAGGTTCCAATGTATATATCTTGCTAGAAAGCTCTGTGGAGGTCAGAGACACCAACATAAAAATGTTTCTAGCAGGCTACATATCAATTATGCTAAGTTGTTGCAACTCAGGCCTCATCCGAAAGTTTTGTAATGACAGAAAATAGGTCTTTTCTTTAAAAAAAAAAATACTTCATCCGCCAATTCTATATACACAAGTAGTTCTTTAAAAGCATTGCTAAACTCAAAAGTTAAGACTGAAATAATCATTATGGAAGTAATTTATGAAAGCGGTGTGCAGCAAAGGTAGATTCCCATTTGCATGAAACTCAGGGGAAAAAAGTGCAATGTGACTATAGCCCATGAAGAGGGGGGAAACATTAACTTCTGCTCAAGTAATAGTAGAGACTCAAATTTTGCTCTACATGTGGTATTACAGACAAGAGTGTGATCTAAGTATCAGTCCCAACATTTTCCTATACAAAACATTAGTTTGTGGGTATTTTTTTATTCCCAAGTGTAGCTTTCTCTTGGTCAGAACCTGAAAGCTAAGCAAACCTGGAGGCTGAAAGAGAAGTGGCTTTGGTGACTGTATAAAAGACTATTTAGTGTCCACTGTATACCAAGTTCCTACCCAGGAAGGGATATTAGGACTACAAATGGTGGCAGTTTTGAAAAGAGCACGCCCCTCCCGCAAACAGATTAGTGCCTGGGCTGAGTTATAACTTCTTCATTAAAGGGGGAGGGACCCCTCCTGGAAGAAGAGTGCCTGAATTTGAGCTGTCTGTGCGTGTATTCAGCATGGGTAATGCTAGGCTGCTAAACCACAAGAAACAGCAGCAGTGATTTAGGGTGCTAGCCCAGGATTTTCAGTACTAGGGTTGTCGTGCATAAGGAAAGGGAATCTAATCTCATTACACAATTGAAGAGTTATGCCAGATCAAACACTTCTGGAGAGGAAAAGGGAATGAAAAAGCATCATTCCTCTCGTCCTTCCAGGTGGGCACATTTGTGTTTGTGATTTAAAAGCAACGCCTGCCTCCTGAACCACTGTTGGGTTGGAGACAATGACTCGGGCATCATCTGGAGTCATCCCAGTCTCAAAAGAGGGAGTTTGGAAGGCAAATACCAGTCCCTCTAAATCCCTCATTCTGGGGACTGGGGCTGGTTAGCCCCAGGGTTCTCAGAAAGGACATGGGCTTGTGCTGGAGTGATAACCCACTGTTCCAGAAGTTTGATCTACAGCACACAGAAGATAAAACCTAACACGAGCATTCTGGACAGGGTCACTGAAGAGGCAGTTCCTCAGGAGCAAACAAGAGATTAATAACAGGCGCCTTAAGTTAGCTTACAAGGTCTATAGTTAAGGACATAGAAAGGAAGTGAGCAGACAGAGAAACACACACAGTGCGCTGCGGAAACCAGTCCAAGAGTATTTAAGACAAGCCCTTGAAAGAGTCGAGGTTGAAGGCAGTGTCCAAAAAGCGCTGCAACTCAGTCAGGTGGTTCTTTTTGTTGCCTGTGGCTGGTGCGGCAGCAGGTTCACGTCCAGCATACCTAGCATGTGGAAAGGAGAAACAGAAAGATGGCAATTTGTAGCTGGTGTCCTTTAACTGCTCATCTGCAGTTCAAGACCGGGGATGTACCGTATTTTTCGCTCTATAAGACACACCAGACCACAAGACGCACCTAGTTTTTGGAGGAGGAAAACAAGAAAAGAAATATTCTGAATCTCAGAAGCCAGAACAGCAAGAGGGATCGCTGCGCAGCGAAAGCAGCAATCCCTCTTGCTGTTTTGGCTTCTGGGATAGCTGCGCAGCCTGCATTCGCTCCATAAGACGCACACAAATTTCCCCTTACTTTTTAGGAGGGAAAAAGTGAGTCTTATAGAGCAAAAAATACGGTACTTTGGGCCCTGCAGCCCTGTGCTTTTCTGCCCCTGGGTTAGCTACCACAAAGTCACGTGCGGGTTTTTGTTTTCTGTGTTCTTTGCCAGTGGTTGCCCCACACCTTCATTGCCCTCTTCCCCCAGTTTTCTTGCTAAAACAAGGTTTCCACGGGAAACTCCAGCCTGCAGACCAATTTTCATGCACACCTGTCAATCAACTGACATCACTGGAGTGATGTAACTAATGGGTGTGGTTCATTCCTACTAGATGCTGCTTCACCAGCGTGTTCCCCCTTCTCCCCCCACCATAGGCAAATTCCGATAGGTGGGCAGGATTGTTCAGCTCTCAGTTACCCAATGTAACTGGTGAGGGGGGATAAGGAATTTGGCCTGCTGGGTCAGAAAGGTCCTCCAACTTAGGTTTGGGTCATTTATGTGCCCAGTGCAGCTTGAGTACCCCACAACCAGCAACTGGGGCAATACCCTTCAGTTCCCAGCACTATGTCCAGTTATGTAAGCCCACATATGGAGCTCAGTGCTGTGACATTCCCAGGGTCCCCTAAACAAGGCCTGTTCCCAGATGGTTGAGTCCAGACCTCCCTTAAAATACTTGCTGCTCTTTCTGCATTCTTACTTTAGAGCATCCACACCAGGCATGTGGAGGGAGAGACGTTTCCCTTGGAACCCACCCACACCAGAGTAGAGATAGTTAAAACATTCATTTAAGTGCCACAACAAACAAAACAGATGGTCACGGTATACCAATTTCCTAACTTAAAACAACTGTCCTAATTTTCATGACATCTATCCAATTTTACATACTCTTTCCCAGCCTGCTCCAGCTGCAGTACCACTTGCAAGGTGATCTATCACCAACTACTACTTTGTTCTGTGGGAAGGATCTTGGTGATTTTTTAATATGTTAACGGTGTTTGTGTTCTCAAAATATGCAAATTTATGTTACTTGTAAGCTGCCTTGGAAAGTGGGATAGATTAATAATTGTAAAAAAGAAAGAAAGAAGGTAAACAAACATTCCTCTATTATAACCAGCCCTTTGGCCTTTAACAGTATGTAACCTTTTATATGGGTTTACTGGTTTGCTTGCTTGTCTGTTTTCGTTACATGTTTTGTGTTCTCGTTTTGCAATTTTATTTTGCAAACCACCCTGCAATCTCCAAAAGAAGATGAGTATACAAACTTAATAAATAAATAATTTTTTGTCACATCTCATTCCCTCTGTCTCTCCCAGACTTTCAATAGTCATTTTCCAACTGACACTCTGTCACTCGCTAGCTCAGTTTGACGTTTCGTTCCACTCCCCTACCGTCCAAGAAGAATGAGTGGAAGGAATGACTGCCACAACTGTATCTACCTCCAGAGCAAATATCTGAAGCTTGGCCTCCACCCACTGATCCAGCACCTGACTGTCAGAAGACGGTCCTTACCACACTGGCTTTGCCCGGTCGATGGTTGTGCGGAGTCTGGGCTTCACGTAATCATAGTATCCTTGGTTTTTGTGCTCTTCTTGACACCAAACAAGGTCTGCATTTGGGTATTTATGGAATTCCTTCAGCAGGAGATCAAATGGGAATGGCGACAGCTACAAACAAAAGAAAGTTTATAGTTCACAAGGACTGTGACCACCGAGCAACAGACAAACTGTGGTGGGGAAAACAGCAGTCTTCGTTTGTTAGTTCCATGTAGTAAGAAACAGGTTGCATGCAGCCTTTTTCTTTTAGTAAAAAGCTTTTGGAGTCCAGAAATATACTTCTTAATCCCAGCAACATTATACTTTTTGAAGTTTGAGGTCACTCTTAAGGCCAAATGCAAATGTAGCTACAACTGTATGACATGGGCACAAACCACTTTCCCCTGAAAGTAAAGGCAGATTGCAAGAATATTTACCTCGGCCCTTGTTCACAGATCAGGTGGGGAGGGAACAAACCCCCAGGGCTTAATGGAGATGTCCTCTATAGGAAACCCAGCTGACCTGAATCTCTTAAGTATTCTGCAAATTGCTGCTCAACACCATTAAGAGTCTGTTTCTAGAATGAGCTCCTTGTTATATGTCTGCAGCATGCTTGAACAATAAATGCTCCACTTCAGAACTTTAGTCTGTAGGGCTCAACTGAAGTACTAAAATGTGTCCCCTGGAGGGGTTTTACTGCCTCCAGAGCAGTGCTTGGAAGGTTAGACTAGGCTATCAAGCCAAGAAGTTTGGGAGTATCAATTTAAAATTCAGCCCATACCTCCTCCTAAAATGCCTTTCAGTTTAAAGAGAGAATCTAAAATACTTCATTTCAGACCTCAGAAGGTCACACGACAGATTCACATTGACAATTTTAAGCAACAGAAATAATTCCTGCACCCCCCTACCTGCTCCACCCTTGTGATCGCCACGTCTGCTTCCATCTCCCGAGTCTTGCGCTCTCGGGTGAGCTCATAGTAGATTTTACCAGTGCAGAAGAGAACTCGCTTCACCCCCTCTGGATTCTGTGCAGCAGGACCGTTTTCTGGGATGACACGCTGGAAATGAGTCCCTGCAAAGGAGAAGTGTTTTTTAAATAACAACCTTATTTATATAGTCCCATCAGCAAGTCTGGTGCTTTACAGACCACAAGGGGATAGGTCCCTTGCTCTAGAGAGCTTACAATCTGAAAGTTCAACACAGGGAAAACAGAAAAAGGAGGCAGGGGTAAACAGGAAAAGAAAATGCTGTTTCAGTTGAGCAAGCTTAGGGTTAGTTACAGATCAGTTAACAATTAGCCCTGTCAGACACAGAACGTTTATTTAGACACAGTGTTTACATGGACAAAACTGAGCCAAATAAATATGATTAATGTAGAACCAAGGTAAAAGGACCTCTGACCATTAGGTCCAGTCACAGACGACTCTGGGGTTGCAGTGCTCATCTCGCTTTATTGGCCGAGGGAGCCGGCGTACAGCTTCCGGGTTATGTGGCCAGCATGACTAAGCCGCTTCCGGCAAACCAGAGCAGCGCACGGAAACACCGCTTACCTTCCCGCTGGAGCGGTACCTATTTATCTACTTGCACTTTGACGTGCTTTCAAACTGCTAGGTTGGCAGGAGCAGGCACCGAGCAACGGGAGCTCACCCTGTTGCAGGGATTCAAACTGCTGACCTTCTGATTGACAAGTCCTAGGCTCTGTGGTTTAACCCACAGCGCCACCCGCGTCCCTTGTAGAACCAAGAAAGCTATGCAAATGCTGCTTAAGGAAATTTTGGTTCCCAGCTGCCCATCTTGAACTTTTGAGTTCCTATTTTAGAGTTAAACGGCAGTGGAGAACTGGTTCTTATGCATGGTTCTCTTCACAGGGACTTGAAGCAAGTCAGAAGCAAGGCAAGGCACTGCCTTGCAAAGATGCTGCGGACTACAGCAGCAGCAAAGCCAGCAAGCTGGTTCCCTTAGACCTGAGTTCCAAAGCTCCCAGGTCTGAGGCAAGCAATAGCTATATAGTAGCTTCAAGAGCATGATTTTATTTATGGTGATCACATCTGGGGTGGGGAAAAGGTGGGGGGGTTGTTTTTGTTTTTATTATGTATTTTGATCTTGTATTATTATGCTGTGAACTGCCCTGAGATCTACGGATGAAGGGTGGTATACAAATTTAATAAATAAAATGAAATCTGTCCCTGAGCATGCAGAAGACTTGAGAAAGATCAACATCATTGTGCGGTATTATGACCCTCTAGGGGAAAAAGACTAAGCAACCGATGCAGTACTGTGTTGTATTTTGCTAATCCTGATTGCCAGGAGGCAACTGCTACTCTGCACTGGAAACCTGGAGAATGCCAAATGTAAAGACTGAGTTAGAGGCCCCTTTGACTGGGTCTTGACACTCTCAGGGCATAAACCAGAGAACTGCGCTATTGAACTATTAATGTGGAACACTGCTGCAGTATTTAAAGTGCTGAATGTGAAGTTCTCCTGTATTCTCCTAGCAAGCTGAATTAGAAATGAGATTAAGCAAGTGCCTACAGTGGTCTCCCAAATCAACCTTTCTAGGAATCTGCTCTGTCTGGCTATATTTCTACCTACCAGATGAAGAGAACAGGAGATGGGAAGTGTGGGAGCAGGTATCCAGCTAAAACCTAGTCAGCAAATGTGCTTTTCGTGGCCACACAAAAAAATGGACCAGGTTTTTCTGCAGGGCACAGCTGTCCCAAGTCAAGGCTACTGTTTCCTCACCTGACTACCAAGTCACATTATCTTCTGCCTGGCAGTGGAATACAAGGGAAGAAATTCCTCCCTGAACCCAGTCCCAAGCCTGCCGTACCTGGCAACATGTCATCAAAGCTGGAGCGAGCTTCAGGGTGACGCAACAGGGACTTTGGAGTGAAGACTATCAGCTAAGACAGGAAAGAAAAGAAAATGATTCCAGGGTTATAGCCAGTATGGGATGGAAACACTTCCTGAATTAAGTACTGAATTATTATACTTACATTCAGGAGTAAAAAAGCCCAATAATCTGAAGTCAGTCAAACACAGATGTTTTGAAGCAGTAACAATGTGACCCAAAGTCTACTAGGAAAGCACTGTCTATCCAGACATGTCTAACACACACCAAGATGATGATAATTACCAGGAAAATATCCATTTTCATGCTTGTAATTCTGCCTTATTGAGTCATAATTGTTTTGCCATAGTGAACTGAATCATACACACAGAATGACTTAGGGAAGAATCTGTGAACCTCCAGACATTGCTAGACTCTGAACTCCCATAAAGCCCCAACTAACATGGGCAGGGATGATGGGAGTGGCACCAGATCTACCACTGCTGGCCCAGAGAACAGCAACACAAATGGGATACACAGAAGGCTGATTTGACAGAAGATTTAATTGCCCACTTAGTATTACTTCTGTGCGTGCCAATGAAGTGGTATTGTGTTTTGAGTATTCAGTGTTCCTTAAAGGTAAAGGGACCCCTGACCATTAGGTCCAGTCGTGGCCAACTCTGGGGTTGCAGCACTCATCTCGCTTTACTGGCCGAGGGAGCCCGCATACAGCTTCCGGGTCATGTGGCCAGCATGACTAAGCCGCTTCTGGCAAACCAGAGCAGCGCACGGAAACGCCATTTACCTTTCCGCCGGGGCGGTACCTATTTATCTACTTGCACTTTGACGTGCTTTTGAACTGCTAGGTTGGCAGGAGCAGGGACCGAGCAATGGGAGCTCACCCTGTCGTGGGGATCCGAACTGCCAACCTTCTGATTGGCAAGTCCTAGGCTCTGTGGTTTAACCCACAGCGCCACCCGCATCCCTCAGTGTTCCTTACACTATTGCAAAAATAAATAAATACCAGTGTTGATGTCTTGTGAGTGAGCACAACTGTGTCAAATTTGCACTCACTGTGATACTGCAGGAGATCCTGAAACATAACGGATCATGCAGATCAACTTCTGGGGACGGCAAAACACTTGGGACAGCTCAGGAAACAGAAGGTTTTTATGCAGTTTTATGAAAAATAAAATAGATCCATCTTTGGTCTGATCCAGCAAGGCTCTGAAGCTTCACTCTATTGGCGTGACAGCTGGATTTGACCCAAACTAGCCTTTTTCCATCAGCAATGACTCTTGAAAGCCTTTCTAAGTAATGAATGGGCAGGAGCTGCACAAATATTTATCACTGAAGAGCGGCAAAGTTATGCAGTTTGAAGGAGAACCAAAATAATACACTCTGTCCAAAGGCATTCATTTAAGAAATCAGAAACAGAGCTCCCATGGAATTGGGTGCCGTAAAAATACTAAGGAAAAACACTTTCTGGATAATCAGAATTCATCAAGGATTGGTTGGCTTGCCGGACCACTTCTAACTTATTTCTGGTTCCAGGCTAGTGGTTCCAGCTCTCTCATACTGCAAGGCTTCTGTCTTTCCTTGATGCATTGATAAGAGAATGCCAGGGGAACAAAAAGGCTCTACAGGTTCCCAAGTCATTTCATCATCCCACTTGTGTGCTGGACTTGGGGGGAGGAGAAAGCACATGCTCCTTCTGAAGTGAGGAAGTCATTCTACATACTGACCGGCTTCCGAAAGGGGAGAAGAATCTGCCTCCGCACAACATGGAAAAAGTTTGCTGGTGTGGAGCAGTTCACTACAATCCAATTGCAGTCGTACAGCTGGCGCACATCAAAGTCATCTAGTTTCTTCAGGAGGAAAAAAATACAAGAGCCATAGTTAGTGGCTGGGAAATGCTGCAGGCATCAACAAATAGTCAAACAGCCAAAACACGGCTATAATAAAATCAATTGTACAATATACTCTTCTATCACATACTTTGATTGCTAGTGGAGGATCAAGTATGAATTTTAATACCCAGGTAGGAGTAACACAGCACTGAGACTTATAGAGGCTTCAAGGACATAACCTCATTCATGGCTGAGGACCAAGACACACAAGGCCGCCATTTCACATGTTACATTAAAAAGTCCTTTCCGGAACCACTTCTTGATACACTCAAGAAATAGGGACTAGAGTGTGCTTAAGCACAAAAGGAAGGAGCAGGAAGTACTCTCACAGACTTAACTCACCGGGAAGACATCTGGATCGTCGTTGCACATCTGCAGAAACCTCTCTGGTCTGGCGGAAGAGTGCTCAGGGCCCTGCAAAAACACAAGGACTTTCAAGGATTTGGATTAAAACTTAATTGGCTAAACTGTATACTGACTGAAGCAGTTTAGGCACCAGCAGTAGCCAATATTAAGGGGGGGGGGATAGGACTTTGTTCCATAATTTAATCCTAAGGTTCTGATTGTGTCCCAATTTCATTGTTGTGCAAAAGGAATAGAGCAGCCAAAGGCTTTGGGCTTACTATCTGATTCAGACTTTATATGGCGTTCAGAACACCAGGCTCTATTACTACTAATACTTCATCTTTAAAAGGTAAAGGTAAAGGGACCCCTGACCATTAGGACCAGTCGTGACCGACTCTGGGGTTGTGGCACTCATCTCGCTTTATTGGCCGAGGGAGCCGGCGTATAGCTTCCGGGTCATGTGGCCAGCATGACTAAGCTGCTTCTGGTGAACCAGAGCAGCGCATGGAAACGCCGTTTACCTTCCCGCCGGAGCGGTACCTATTTATCTACTTGCACTTTGACGTGCTTTCGAACTGCTAGGTTGACAGGAGCTGGGACTGAGCAACGGGAGCTCACCCTGTCATGGGGATTCGAACCGCCAACCTTCTGATCGGCAAGCCCTAGGCTCTGTGGTTTAACCCACAGCGCCACCCGTGACCCTACTTCATATTTAGCCATGCATAAACTTACAATGGAAGAGGCTATGCTACATTGTTTCATAACCTGCAACATAATTATCAGGGTCTACTGCAGGCACCCCCAACCTTCAGCCCTCCAGATGTTTTGGACCACAATTCCCATCAACCCTGACCACTGGTCCTGTTAGCTAGGGATCATGGGAGTTGCAGGCCAAAACATCTGGAGGGCTGCAGGTTGGGGATGCCTGGTCTACTGCCTTCCTATTCTCAGAAGAGCTTTTTCTATGAGGCCATTGCATGGGCCACGTCTATCTAAAATCTAAATCTAAGACAGGCAAAAGACTGTTTAGGAACAATAATGTTTTCTTACCATGCCCTCCATGCCATGGGGCAGCAGCAGTACGATGCCATTTTGTCTCACCCATTTGGCCTGTCCAGAGCAGATGAATTGATCAATAATACACTGAGCTGTATTGTGGAAGTCACCAAACTGGGCTTCCCACACCACTAAGGCGTTGGGGCTGGCCATAGCAAAGCCCAGTTCAAATCCTGCAACGACACAGATTAAAAACAATATGCTTTTCTGGAACCTTATGAGTGGGAGACTCAAACAGTACCAAATTAACTTACCCTCGATTTCTGTAAGGAGCCATGAGATGTACTTACCTAGCACTCCATACTCCGAGAGGGAGCTATTGCAGACTGTATATGGAGCTTGGTTTGGCCACAGATGGTTCATGGGGATACAGGTCCTCTTGTCAACATTTTGATCATGCAAGACATGGTGTCGGTGGCTGAAGAGGAAAAAAAGAAAGCTCTGCAATTTAACTGGTTAGAGAGACCAGGTGAGGCATTAAAGCAAGCACAGATGCAGTCCAATCCTAACACGGAGTTAGGTACACCTAACTATACAGATTTAATAGATTTACATTGCTCTGGGTCAAGGTGTTTCATTTGCAGCTGGAAAAGCTTTAGACCAAATTCATTATTGTGACCTGCTGCTAGGTACAATGACACTTTGAGATGTAATGTAACCCCTTAGGACTGCATTCTTTTTTATGGGGGCACGTTACCTGAATGTCCCTCTCTCAACATCCTGCCCGCTCAGTCGGATGTGGATTCCCTCTTTAAGGAGAGAGCCGAATGCCATGTACTCTGCTAATGCCCAGTCTACAGTTCTATTATTAACCAATTCTCCACGTGTTTTTAGAATTCTGCTTAAACCTGCAGAGAGAGAGAGAAGAAAAAGTTTTCAGCCTGCCTTGAAGAAACTACAATGATTGACTCCAGAGTACAGCCTTAACTCTATGGATGACTCTACGACAGCACTGTTCACATTCGTGCTTGAACTCAGCACCCAAAATACCTTGAAATACTGCTGCTCCAGAGAACATGGGGTGAAAACATGAAAAACATTATAATATAAAGGTGCAAAAGAAAAAGTGGTGAAGGAGCCAAGTTGAAAGGTTCTGTTTTGAAGCAAGATCTCCTTCCACTAAAGCAAATCTATAGTGGACTGGGACATATTATATATGGAGAATTCCTAAACATTCAAAGTAAACGAAGAACAGAAATTGATGAACGTTCATCAGTTGCTGAACATATACCTGAAAGTGACTGAAGAAATTTGCAAAGGATGTTGTAAGCATATGGTCCTCACGGACCCCTGAAGACATGACTAGTACTTAGCCCACTGTGAGGCATGCTCAGTATGGGCTGGGCAAGAGCACAAGTGCCACAGTGTCCCCCGCTCCTGAGTGCTCAGATTATATGTGAGTCTCCTCATACAAGAACATCACTTCACTGAAACCCCTTCATGAGTAGGTGGTTTATCTACAGCATTCCCACACTGACTGGCTCACCGTGTACCTAAGAGTCCACCATACCAACTAAAGTGCAATGGAATGGTAAAAGAAGCCCAGTGTTGCCTTTTCTCGTGCAGCCTTCACTACATTAAAGATGAACCCTGAGGAATTAATGGCTATCAATGTGGAAAGTCATACCACCATGAATTGTGAAGTTTTCAACAGGCACTGAGCTGGCCACCTTTCCTATATGGGCCAAATCTTCTTCATTCAGACCAGTGGAAGGGCAAGTCATGCTTCTGGGCTGGCCATCCAGAGTGAAGAAACCTGGGGAAGTAAAGGAGAGCACATTTAATGCGATGAGCCTCCCATTCATAGAACAGTGGAGGAAGATCTAGTTTCTGGAAGACTAAACTATGTAAAAGTGGCCCTTTCATTGCCTTTCTCCCTTTGAGAAGAAGAAACTTGGCAAAGAAACCATCCTGAGCTAAACACTATATTCCTTGCCAGAGCATCTGCAAAAAGGACAAAACTTGCTCATAAAGTGCCCCTCTCTTTACTGTCTGCATTTTGTTTACTAAGTGTGTAATGCTCACATCTTCCTACAGTTTTTATATGGGATTTCAGTACTTGGAGCGTGGGGCAAGTATCTCTTTTTAGTGCCAGGAGCTGCATGTGTAATCCCCTGGCAGCAGAACTACCTTTTAACAAAAGGTAATAGGAAGCAGCCAGTGCCTACCAGGCCACGGAGAATCAAGCCAATGCTTGATGTGAAGGATTTTCTCATCCTTGGACCTGGCAAGGGCCTCTTCACAGATCTTATCATACTTGGAAATTTCCTCCTGAAATGCATAACCAACACAATGTAAGAGTTAGAAGGGTGAGCCTAAACTGAAAAATTGGCATCAGTTCATTCTAAGTAAAAAGAGTTCAGGAAGCATTCTATTATAACTGCATTCTATTCCATTATTATTTATTCATTTTATTCTTTAAAAATATTAAGATACTGCTTTCCCTTTATAGGAAAATGCCAAAGCTGTTTCCAACATATTAAAGACCATGAAAACTAGTGAACAAAAGGAAGACCATCAGAAAACAACAGCAGCAAAACCATGTGATATGGAATTTCAAGCTGCTCATCAGTTGACTGATGTTGACTTATTTACTATATTTCCTTCCAACACAAAAGGGCATTGTCCTACTACAATCAATATGGTCATAAAAAGGTAACATAGAAAATAACACAGCTGGGGGAGAAAGTATACCCAGGAGACACCTCCTTTTAAAAAAGGAATAGGCCCCGAAGTTGGAAGACATTGCTCATATGCTGCCATGGAACTCAGGTGGCATGAGGGTGGTGAACAGACACAAGTTATCTATGCATGGGGTGGCAGGGTGAAAGAAAATCACACAATCTGCTACAAGTAAGGCGTACTTTTGGTTTGGGGGTGAGTTAGGGAATTATCTAACGTTTCTGCCCCATCTGCAAGATCTTCAGGTATCTTCAGATCTGCCCCGTTCGCATCTTAAAGGTGTCATGTGGGGTGAGAGTGAAAACTATTTGCTCCAATCCAAATTAACCCCATCAGAATCTGCCAAGAGTGCAGAACTCATAACAGCTTAAATAGTGCTAGATGGGGTGGGGAGATTGTGATTGGATGATGCACACCATTGGGTATTTCAATCCTGGCCCCTCTAATCATGCAGGGTATGTGTGCTTCTAATAAATCCTAACTCTCCTTCTGCACGGTATATTGGTGGGTCTGTGGATAGTGATCTTCCCCCACTCCCCTTGTTTACCACCATTTGAGTCACCAACTTGTATTTTTAGTCTGCAAATAAAGGGAAGCCTATCACCTGGCAACATGAAGAAATATAATTACAACTTATCTTAAATATGTGTCATTCTGTATTGTTTTGATTAGTTACAGAATAACAACAGGCTCTGAAACTCCTCTCCACGACAGTTAACTGTTAGACATGACACAATAAACGTGGTTTTAGACTGATGATAGAAAACTGTTCTAAGCTTTAGTGTAATATTTATAGGACTAGAGTGGAGGAGAAATTCTGGGCCAAGAAATGGCAACAGCATTAGCAAGATGGAACCAGCATTTTTTAAAGAGTTTTGTTGTTCTGAAGCGTAACCACGCATCATACTTAAACCTCTCTGATATTTTGTTCAGAGCTTCATCCTCCCCATTTATCAGAATGCTTCTTCAACTTCTTTATATTTCATTTATACTAGATTCTTTTCCTAGTTCTTTTTTTAAAACGCTGTTACAACCTTCTGTATTCAGCTTGAGATGGTGACAGATGATCTTGCCATATATGCTAAAGTAAATTTTAGTTTGCACTTCTTTGACCTCAGTTGAGCTTCCTTCCGCTTAGTCATTAAAGTAAGATTATACAACATCTCTAAGAGGTTAAAATGGGTCAGTAGCTCCAGATTGACTGTGAAGGCATAGATGAGTGTACCTCATACTCTGGCTGATTTACCACTCCTTGTGAAACTAGAGTCTCAGCATATTTCTGTAGCACTGGCTTCTGCTTTCGGATCTGCTTGTACATCAATGGCTGGGTGAACATTGGCTCATCCATTTCATTGTGCCCATTGCGCCTGTAGCATACCTAGCACATTTGGAGAGAAAAACAGAAACCTCATTATATCTTCAAAAACTAAAGGAAGTTCCAAGCACCAATTATTAACTATTTGGAGATATCTGATGCAAAGAAAATTTCAGAGGGACTAATTGTGATGACATTTTAGCAAGTTTCAGTGTAATCTAAATTGAATGAATTTATTTGAATGAAATTACTTGAATGAAAAAGGGAAATGTTAATGACACAAACAAAGGCTTATGGGTTTAAGTTTTAGCATGTTTACTACAATATATTTATGTTCCTTCTCAAACATATTATCATACCCGCAGATCACACAGGTATCCCCCAAAACAGGAGGCAGCACTTACCAGATCCACCACTACATCTTTGTGGAAAGTACTCCGCCATTCAGCTGCCACATTGCATACATACACCACAGCCTCTGGGTCATCAGCATTGACATGAAAAATGGGTGCATTAACCACCCGGGCCACATCTGTTGGGTATGGAGAAGAACGAGCCATTCGAGGGTCAGTAGTGAATCCAATCTGCAGAAGATAATAGAAGCAGTTTAAGTAATTGTGAAGAGTGCTTTATAGGTGGGGTTTTTTTTTACTATTGATTTGTCAACTGTTTTATATAATTTGTTGCAACTGTGATGTTCTACTATATTATTTATTGAATGTAAGCCGCTTTTCGACTCCTGTAAGTGAAAAGCGGCATTTAAATAAAATAGAATGAATGTTTGCACACCATGTTTTTTTTCATTCAAAAACTTCAAAAAGTTGTAATCAGCATTTGTTTTCTTGGCGTACAGTGAAGGCTACTTCAAGCAAATCTGTAAGGGTCTGGCAGAACACTGAGAAACTGGGAGGGGGGGATCTCACTTGCTAAAGATAACTGTGGGAGGAGCATCTTAGATAGTAGCCCCTCCATTTTTCATGCCTACTGTCTAGGTTCTCATGGCTGCTAACTGATGAATTCCTATGTGTCTCTATTCAGTAAAGGCTTCCCTCCCCCAAAAAACCAAACTGGTCAGCGATGACCTTTCTCTTTAACAGTGGAACAAGATCATTTTACTGGAAGACCCTATCTACTAGCATGTTTTGGAATCATCAGCATTAAGATGCCTTAGGAAGTCCAAGATGAAATCTAGTTCATCTTATTTAAGTCACTCCTAGTTCTCTCGTCTAACCACTAAAAAAATGGTCTTCATTAGGCACGGCTGAAGTACTGATGTATTTGCTTCAATCTCAACTGTGCAATAATTTAGCTGCTTTTATTTTAAGGTTAATGGTAAAGAAAGAAGCAGTGAATTCTTGCTGCTTAACAGAAAAGCTTAGCTATATCCTGGACTTCAATTTCAAATGTTCATTTGACAAATCTGAGGTAAGGAACAAGAGAAAAACCAACTAGTCTCTTTTTGAAGAGTTTTAGTTTTCAAAGAGTTTCCACAGGTGAGACAAAAGTAGATGCATTTCATCAAGACTGCCAGGAGATCAGAAAGTCTTCTATACTCAGTTCTGCCAAGATCCAGGAAAGCTAGCATGAATAAGACGAGCCAAACCATTTTCTCAATGAATTAGCTCAATTATGAAAAGCCAGTGCGTTGGTTGTGAACTGTTATAGCTCAGCCAGCAGCAATCTGTGAAGCGGGCATGGCCTTTCAAGATGTTTTCCCATACATTTTGGAAGGAAGAGAAATCTGATTCAGTTTCAGTACATAACAGCATCACCCAGCTTCTACTAAAAATGCACACAACCAAGTTCAAAAGATCACACTGGTACTCTTCTTGGTAGATTTTGAAGTGGAAAAAAGAGTTAGGGAAGCTGACATTATAATGAAATCCATATTTTACCTGGTTGTTCACTACCACGTGAACAGTCCCATGTGTGGTATAGGAAGGCAGGTCACTCAGGTGGAAAGTCTCATAAACTATACCTTGCCCAGCAAAAGCGGCATCTCCATGCAAAAGAATAGACATCACCTTTGAGAACCAAAACACAAACAAAAGGCTTGTCAATAATCTTGAAGCACTAAGTGCCCAGAACTGAATGCAGACTGTAGTGATGCTCTTTGAGGAGACATAACTGGCTAGAGAAGGAAGCAGGTACAATAAGCAGTGTTTGATAGCTGTAACTATTTGGCCACCAAATAAAAGTTTTTCCATTTTGTCCACCCATACACGTACAACTGAAAAGGACCAACTTACTTTCTTCCCTTCGGTGTCCCCACAATAAAACTGTTCTGCCTTTGTCTTGCCCTGAACGACAGGATTAGAAGCCTCCAAGTGAGATGGATTTGCAACCAGTGAAAGGGTGATGGTTCGGTCAGTGACACGATTAATCCTCCGATGGTACATTCCCAAATGATACTTTACATCCCCTGAGCCCTGAGGAGAGAGAGTGTAAAACAGATTAAGTAGCCTGGGCCTTTGATGCTGTCAGTTTTCAGAGCCTCATGTTTGGTTGCAAAATGTTTGTGGTTTGAGTTCTTTAGGAGGGAATGAACTGGAAGTTCAAGGTGCATGGAGTGCTCATTCAGATCTATCATAGAGACGGCCAGAACTCAAACACAGAACAGGGAATGAATGGTGCTGATTAGACTTTCTTCCTTCCTTCCTTTCTTTCTTTCTTTCTTTCTTTCTTTCTTCCTTCCTTCCTTCCTTCCTTCACCTCTGTTCAAATTGATGAGCTTTTGCAACTATCAAGAAGGAATCTATCCAGAATGAGATTTCAGCACTATTACCTTATATGCAGATACCTGTATGAGTGGCTGCTAGGAATCAATAATCATGTACCATGGTTACATTTGGTATTATCCTAGGTTACCTGAGAAGTGCTTGGTATCTCACAAGGCTCACTTTAATAAAGCCACCACTGCTCAGAACAAGGCAGCAATAGTACTACTGGATCATAACCTGTATTATCTACTCTGGAAGCTCAAGTTCTATGAAAGGCCAGGTTCAGAGAACTGAAAAATTCACTAATGACATTCAGTCACAACGGAAATGACATTCTGTGCTGTGTAAAAAAGTTGCATATAACTTCAACACTGTAGAAAAGCTGTAGCCAAGCTGGCCTCACTGAACAAGTGACAAAAATACTGGAAGGCAAGCTTTTAAAATCCCACATGACTCAGCTACATTCCGGCGATTATATTGTTATAACTGTGTTATAGACATGCAACACCAGATGGCACTGTAGAGTTTGGTCCTTCGGCAATGTGATTTTCCATTATGAGATTTAGAACTCGTTTTCCTGTAACACTTTTTTATGTGTCTAGATCCATCCTAAGAGAGGATGTTTGGAGGGGAAACGGGTACAGTGCTGTTGCTTCTACTTTCAAAGCTAACTAATCATTATCTCCCCGTGGAGTGAAGTAGGAGGAGACAATTCAAACACAAATTAAGGAGTAACTCACCTCATCGGCAGCTTCCAGCTTAGAATCAAATTGGCAGAATATCTGCTCCAACTCCTTCCTGATAACGTTGGCAAGCACATTCAGACGCCCTCTGGAAAACCAAAACCACATTTAGCAAGAAACTGTGCAGACTTGTCTTGGAAACAAGATTCTTTGACTCATTCTGACACACCTTCCCTTAAAGTAAAAAAAAAAGATTGTAACATTTCTTGTTTATAAAAACATCTACCACTACTAGTTACAGTTCATGTGACACTTTTATTCATTCATTCATTGTTAAAGTCATATCTCACTTTTCCTACAGGGACCTCAAAGGGACACACAAGCTTCTATCCCTCCCTGTTCCATCTTCACAACAACCCTGTGAGGTGATGATCAGCCCTAGGCCACCAGGTGAATTTCATGGCTGAGGACTGCACTACACTTCACAAGTTCTGTGTCTGTCTTCACAACATGTCTGTCAGATATAAAAATACCAGTCATTTTAAAAGTGGGACACCGAGCTGAGAGAAGAAAGACTTGCCCAACATATAAATAAAATTAAATAAGGCCATGGCAGGGATGAGGTATCAGTTCAGGCCTCTCAAATTAAAGTACAACTTTCTAGCCAGTGTATCTTCAGCACTCTTAGAACTCTCTTCTGATAATCAGCTTTCTGTGAGGATGAAGTTACCTATGAGGCATCCCCATGATGACATAATCCACTCCTTTTTGGCTAGACTTGTCAATTATTGTCTTTAAGGCGGGGATCAGCACCTCACAGCCTTCCAAACCAAATCGCTTCTCAGATGACCATTTCCTATGCAGGAACTCTTCAAATCTGGAAAACAGAAGATATACGTCATTTGTCCGACAAGAATTGCCACACAACCAACTAGAATGACTCAAAAGCTCCAAGAAGGAAGTGATTCTGACAGGAATTTATCTCTGCACCATGACCCACTGGCTCTGCATGGGATGTTCTGGCAGTTAACCCTTCCCACTGTTTTCCCTCACAAGCTGGACATCAGAGACAACAGAGGTGAAAGATGCATGTGGAGAACTTTCCTATAACTCCCTCCTCCTCCTCAATCTAAAGCATTGCGGATGTGGACACAAACAGGAGTTGGAACATCGGTAGTAGTTAATGGCTGAAGAACTTCAATTGCATTAAACTTACAGGCATAATAAGCATTACTCAAGAGCTGTAGAGGAAATAGCAATATAATGAATTGCATTATTCAAAAGAAAGGGAAGAGTTAAAACCAGTGCTAAATCATGGTCATATCTTGTTGTGTCACTCAGAAACAGGAGGTGGCAGGGGGGCGGGAAGATGAAGGGGAAATGATAAAGATTCTGGAGAATAGTTTTGCAAGTCATCTCTAGAGAGATAGCAGAAGAAGCCATGCAACTAGATTATGACATACATACACATTACTATTATTTATTAAATTTGTATACTGCCCTATACCTGTAGATCTCAGGGTGGTTCAGAACATGTGTGATCTGAGGTTACACACAGTTATTCTCAATGTAAAACTAGGTCAAAGATGTGAGTAAGCAGAGAAAAGTGAGAAGAGCCAACATCCAAGGTCTTTCCTAAATGAAGAGCAGACTTTTCCCTTCATGCCATACTAATGATGGCCTACATTCAGTGCCATTAGCACAAAAAAATACATCCTGTATAACTGCGGTAGGATGGAGAGGATAACACCACTCCTGACTGCAGCTTTAGCTGGAAAAATATAGTCAAGGAACATGTACATGCCAGAGAGAAAGCTTAGCTTAAAAAACAAAAACCTCACTTAAACTGCATTGCAGGAGATGATGATGATGATAATAATAATAATAGTAATAATTTTTATTTATACCCCGCCCTCCCCAGCCGAGGCTGGGCTCAGGGCAGCTAACAAGCAATAATAAAAACAAGTTGAATGATTACAACTTAAAAACAAAATTAAAATACAACATTAAAATATTAAAACATTAAAATATTAAAATGTAGCCTCATCGCAGGAGGAGAAGGAAAAGAAAAAAGAAAGAGAGGGAGGGAATCAAATTGGCTCCAAGCCAAAGGCCAGGTAGAACAACTCTGATAAATGCTCTCCGCTCCTCTCCTTGGGAGTCTTCTGGGCAGCCACTGCCACTGGTCTCTGAGCTGCTCCGCCCCAATGAGTGGTGTCTTCTCACACTGCCCCACAGGGCCCAGGGACTTGTCTGTCCATTCCCAACAGCAAGGGCTGACGGACTGGCTGGCTGGCTGGGTTCCCTCACCCACTTGCTTGCTTATCCACTTGCTTGCCGCCTCAGCTCCTGGCAACCAGCACGCCCCCTGACCAGCCCCAGAGGCACCATTCACCTGGGGAGCTTGTAGCCAGGGCTGCTGCAACAAACAGCTGTGCAAGCCTTGGGGAGGCAGAGAGGCAAGAGGGCATCAGAGGAAGGAGGAAAGGAAAGGAAAGGAAAGGAAAGGAAAGGAAAGGAAAGGAAAGGAAAGGAAAGGAAAGGAAAGGGGGACAGTGTTGACCCACGGCACCCCTGACCATCATTCAAGGCACCCCAGGGTGCCACAGCACACTGGTTGAAAAACACTGGGTTAGAACCATATGTGTGCATCTCAGTTTGCTGAGAATGTCAATCAACTCTTGAACCATTTGGTCCTTCTGGGCTGTGAATCTATGCTTGTAGGCCGCTTGTCCACTGCCATGAAACTTGAGCCCTGAGGGGCCTAACAGACCCGCCCCAAACACACAAAAAAAACCCCAAAACAAAACCCCACAATTCAGGGAAGTTGAAGAAATGCAAGTACCTGGTCGACCGGACTAGTCTAGCCAGCAGGGTGCGCTTCTCCTCGTTAGTGAACTGCATGACACCAGGAGTTTCAAATTTCTGCCTTATCCATTGGCACTGCTCCAGATCATTAATGAACATGAACTCTACACCAATGTGTTGGCAATAGGCCATCTATTAAACACAAAAAAGTTTCAACACAAAATAAAGCAAAAGAGTTGACCATCTCACAGCACAGATTAAAGAAGTGCTTTTTGAACAACTATATATCATCAAATAATTATGTTTTATTTATTTATTTATTTATCCTTCTTTTCTTCTAAAGAACTTGGGGCAGTGCATAATGGGCAATTCCATTTTACCATCATAACCATTCAGTAAGGTACACTACACCAAGAGAGGGGCAGAAGACTGTCCAGTGATGACTTAGGATCTGAGCTGAGGTCTTGACAATCCAAATCTTATATACTGCACCCCACGGGCTCTGGAACTTGCCAGTTTCATTAATTTGAATGAGATATACTTTCCTGAATCAGGCACATGAAGTCTGTGCAGTTTCATTCAAATCTGGGACTGGAAAAACAGAAGTTGAACATCTAAGGTCTTCAAATAAGCTAGTATTTTTCAAAACTTGGAAACTTATCAAGGGCTCCTCAATAAGACGATTATGGCAGACAAACTTCCTTGAAAACAACAGCTTGATTACCACTAATAATCTGTCTTTGAAATGTGTAGCTGCAGAGGAATGTAGTTTACATTCACATGCAGCAACAGTAAGACTAAAGAGGGCTGGCCGGTAACCTATGTACCTTAAAATGTGACCCAGAATCCTTTGCAATGCACAGATGAAGTGCTAAAATGCTCCCTGAAGGTAGATGTTTGAAACTCAGAAAGGTAAGACATAACATAAGTGACTGTAACTAGCTACTTTTTAAATCGGTTATGTTCAAATTTTAATACCAATGCAGGGAACTGGCAGGAGATGCAAGCAGAAGAGCAAAGGAATGTCTGGCAAGTGTTGGCAAGACTGACCTTTGCACAGCCTTGTTGGAAATTATTTTTAGGCATAGTCATGACACAGAACTAATGTAGGCAGAGGACACCAAGGTTGCATTTTCTTCACTAGGAAGTGGTGTTGCCTTATGAAGTATGCAAATTATAACCTGCTTACTGAGTGGAAAGATAACTCTGAAACCCAGAGTAAAAGGAGATACATTTTGAGAAGTTAAGATGGACAAGAAAAGCCACTGCAGGTGAGGAAGCTGAGTGGTTGCCTTTATTCTGCACAACACAGTTACAGAAGACAGAGACAGGAAAGGAGCGCTCCTGTCCTTGAGGTTTTTCTTCTCCTTCCCATCTCTTCCCCTTTCAAGAGTCAGCAGCAGCTGTTCGTTTGCTGTGCTGAGCAAGAGGCACCCACACTGGCAAGGAAAAAAAATCTGTATGACTGCCAGAAAACAGGCGTAAGAAATGCTCTTCCATCAAGAATGACCATTAAAATTTTAAGCTTTAATATGTTCATAGTTTACAGAGCACAGTAGTTTTTGTAGTTGCAACATCCGGAAGGACTGGTGTTCTCACATTTTCCCCATTGGATAACCACATTTTATCTTCTATTTCACTGCCTTTTTGAAGCTGCCAGAGCACCAGGGTCAAATACCTTATCCCTCTGCAGTATATTACCCTAATATAGTTTCTCTGGGGACAGGTTATTTGCCACAGCGTCTTATCTGCCCAAATCCTCACACACAATGCTAACATCTCTAAGGAGAATTCATACAGACTTTAAAAATGTACTTTACATTTCAGACTACAGTGTAGAAAGGTATCAACATGGGCTTCCACAATATTCCAACAAGAGGCAGCTCCCTCTTGCAATTTCCGAAGCAGCACATCGGCAACGGAAACACCACAGGCAGCTATTTGACCACCTATGAAGGGGTCTGCCGCAAATTGCCTACAGGACCAGTTTGCTATCTTTCATGCGAACACTCGCTTCTTCACTCGTAATGGCCAATGGTAGAATTTCTGCTCTGCAGGGGGTTGGACCAGATGGTCCTCAATTCTAGGATTCTATTATTGCTTCTAAATTGTTTTGAGAACTCACGTTTACCAGCTGCCACTAGGGAGTAGTACAGATCAGTACCAGTGTTAAGGCAGAAGATTCAAACAGTAGGTTTGTTTATTTAATTATTTCATTTATATCTCACCTCTCTTCCAAGGAGTTCAGTGTGGCATAATGGTACTGCTCCTCTCTATTCCACCCACCTCAAAAGCAATCGTATGAGGTCGCTTTGCCAAGACTGTGACTGGCCCAACATCACTCAGTGAGCTTCATGACTGAGCAGGGATTCAAACCTTGGTCTTCCAGGACCTTGTCCACTAATCTAATCATTACTCCACAGTGGCTCTCTTTCCTACACAAAGCTAATACCAACTGGAAATGTAGGCATGACGTCACTTGGGAAATAAGGTGCCAGTGTTTATTTTGTCACACGAGTGTGTAATGGGATACTTTTTCTGGCATGGAATCATAGAGTTGTAGAGTTGGAAGGGACCACGAGAGTCATCTAGTTCAACTCCCTGCAATGCAGGAATCTTTTGCCCAGTGTGAAGATTACTTTCTGGACTACAAAGTTAGCACCATGTTAAAAAGCAGACCGACCAACTGTAACTATTACAGAGGGTAATTATTTGGGATAAATTGCTTTGTTTCTGATTAGAGTGCTGTTTGGACACCACTCCACCTTGCGAACTCTATGCACAGTGAGTTGGGGAGTTGATCTCTTGCTAATTTTTTATCCACTCTCAGCATGTAGAAGAGGGAGTGAAGATTGTGTGCTGAATTCAGCATGGCTTGGTGGGGAGCAGTGCTTTTATAGCTTATGAAAGGAACAGAGGAAAGACACAATTCTAAAGCCTGTACCATGCCTTGTTATGTATACACTGGGGTAGGGAGGGAAGAAAAGTGACAACATCCAAACAGTGCTGACTCTCCAAGGCTCCTGCATCCTGTGCAGGTCTCTTACCTCTAAACGGCGGATGATTTCCCGAAGAGGGAGAGCAGATTCTTTTCCTCCAATGAAAGTGGTAGTGGGCAAGTGAAAAACCTTGTCGAGGTCCGATTCGTCCAGGCCATAAAACCCTGCAGAATTTTCATGGGTAGGAGAAGGCAAAAAAGGAGTGGGAAGAGGCGTTCAATGCAGACAGCCGCAGCACAGGAACCAGGTTTTGGTGAAGGAGAGGAGGGACAAGAAAGCAGCACAAAATAAGCATGAAGGAGGTTTGTATGAACAAAAAAAAAAGGCGGCAATTAAAATGATGAACAGGTAAGCAAGAACAAAAAAGGTTACCGTAAAAAGCATGGAGGGTGTAAACACAGGTAATATACTTGCCGTTAAAATTGGTAATTAAATCCAGGGGAGGAATCAATAAGAATTTTAGACCCACATTCACACATTTTTTTGGATGTTAAAGACAAAAAAAGTATTGCAAAAATACATTGTCACCACATTTCACCACATATTTAAAATTAAAAGTAAAATGAAGCAGGAAATAAAAGAGTTAAAGGCCCAGCTCCCAGAACCAAAAAGTAGAAAAGCAGCATGATTATGTATCAGTTTTAGGGTTCTGTGTAGGACTCTCCTGAATAGCTCACTCCATGGGAACAAAGATTTGAGAATGAACTGGACTCTGCAAACAACGCTTTTCACAGGCCTCACAAAGGTTTTGCTTCCACCAAATTTCAAAATTCTCTCTCAGCAATACATTTAAGCATCCACTATTCACATTTACTGTGCAGGAGCACAGACCAGAAGTATCTTATTATTACCAATATTAAAATACTTCAGCATCAGTTGCTCGAATAATTAAGGAGTGTTCAGCTGAAGATCATACAACTGAGAGCCAGAAAGTTGTCTATAAAAAGATACACCAACTAATCCAAGTGGAGATTTTGCATAGCAACTTGACAAGCGTTTTCGACATTAAAGAAAAACTCCTTAATGTTGATCAACTTAGTATCTAGTGAGAAACTATTCTGGGAGGAGTTTTGTAACAGAAAGCAATTCAGCTTGCCAGACAGAACAATTCTGCATCTCCTCCCCAGGCACGCTGTTCCAGGGGGTTCTCCTAATACTCCCCCCCCCAGCCCTTTCCAGGGGAAACGAGGGGAGGACAGGGGTAAAGCCCCGTAGAGCAAGCAGAGGTTCTGGCACAGGGCTTCCACTGATGGGACTCATTAGCTGAATCCAGCCCTTTATGTGTTTTGAAATTTCTATTCCGCCTCTGACCTTAAAGTAAGCAACTAACCAAAAACAGCTAAACACAAACTGAAACAGAGGAACCATCTTAAACCTAAGACAACAGAAGCTCACAGACCAGCAAAATCATCATGGAGCCAAGGGGAGACAAAAGCCAAACAAAGGACAGACTAATGTCCTGTCTAAAATGCTGCAAGATGATGGCATAAGGCCAGTGGCAATAGGCATGGATGGTTTTCTTGGAGCAGGGAGATCCCCGTAACCAAGGCCCTCTTCCCTGTTACCACCAGCAAGATTTCAGACGGCGGCAAGACACAAGAAAGGGCTTCTACAGCTGATCTAAAGGGCTCAAAGACTGTACACGTTATGTCATTTTTCTTCCTGCATCAGGACAATTGCAAAGCAATCAATTCCCACCAGACACTTCTGCTTCATCTGTCAGTAGAAGATTACATAGACTTGGAAGCAGGCTGGTAGGCAGAGGTACAAGGCTGCTTGATAAAGGGTTGCTACTGAACATTTAAATGATATGCCAAATTCTCACTCCTTGCTGCCATGTTTAGTCCTCTGTATCCCATGCTGTTCTTCCACCAGGGGGGCAAGGAAACAAAACTGGGGCAAGTCTGACTAAACTAGGGGTTGGGTCGGGAATTGCTTCTGGCATTTCCTTATCTTCCTCATCTCTTGCAAATAAACCTGACTTGCAAAGTCCACCTGACTTCATAATGGCATGAGGTGACTGACACTTGTCAAAGCTTGGAGGTCACTGTAACAGATAATTGACTGATTGTTGGTTACAGGGAACCCCTTTGAAGTATCTGCAGAGGGCAAAATGCTCCTATAATTGGAACATTTCCTCCTTTGGAGAGAAAGCTGTTTATATTCAAAGCACTTCCTCCAGCGCTTTGAATATAAATTGCTCCCCTGGGAAAAGAAAAAAAAACAAAAACGCACCAAGTTTTTAAATTGAGCATTTTTTCATCTCTTCTGAGAAAGCAGTGAAGGAAGTGCTTTGAATCCGAGCTACTTCCTCCAGCTCCCTGGGCCAATCCCAGTGAACTGTTGGGACTTTGGCTGTGCAGGTATTCTTCAAGTACCACCAGCTCCAGTGATCAGCTGACAGCCAGGGCTTCAAAGTGCCTTGCAAATAACTGCACCCAGTGCTGATCAGCTGGGTGCTCCACCCCTTTTTTTGGTCCAGCTTTACTTGCCCCGTACTAGACACCATTTATGATGTGAGGTATGATGCCTTCACATAGGCAATAAAGAAGGGCCAGTGGAATGCCTGTTATCTTTATTATACCTGGCGGACCAAATGGGGAGGCATGGTGGGCCTAATTAGGTTCACTGTCAAGAGATTGACCCCCCAACTCCAGCTGAAACACGATACAGAGGTCAGGGAGTACTTGAAATTTTGCTTTCATATTGATGGCAACCTGAATCAAGTGTAGTTCTGTCCTCAGGAGGAAGATTTGGGTAATTCCCCTACCTTATTGTTGTTGTTTGTTTAGTCGTGTCCGACTCTTCGTGACCCCATGGACCAGAGCACGCAATGCACTCCTGTCTTCCACTGCCTCCCGCAGTTTGGTCATACCTTATTACCCAGATCTAATTCCTGTGTTTGGCACTCGCTGGTTTTTAAAATCTACATTGTTGGTTCACAGCATAAGCTCTTTCGTAAAAGGGGTGGGTGGGAATTGCATGGGGAAACCAAATATTGTTCTTGTGTCAGAACATATTGTGCTAGCTGCTTTCTGGGTCTCCCTTTTGCTTTTTTGTAAAAACTGAAGCATTTTTTAAAATTGTGAAAGTTTCAATTAAGGAAAGATCTCAGAGTGACTTTAAATTCATCTGGGTGAGGTGATAGTTACATTAGTCCTGCTCGTTGGAAGTAGTTCTCATCTGTTTGGAAATTCAGTGCATAGACCTGTTAATACTATGTATCGAGAGGTATGAGACAGATACTTTTTTCTAATTCACCCATTAGAAAAAAGCATCTATCAAGTAATTTTTAATGCTTATTATTATTAGCAGAAATATGACATGAACACACCCTCAGCTTGAAGGATATCATTTTGCTACCCTGGATGCAGAATCAGGCTAGGGTAATGCAAGTCATTCTGTTACTCACCACTGCATCTCCCATCCCAGTAGAGATGCTGAAGCAGGGAGAATGTGATTAGCAAGGATTTTAAAGTTACAAATGCTGAGAGAGAGAGAGAGAGAGAGAGAAAGGACCTACGGTATACTATCCACAAAAGGGCTGCTGCAGGAGCAAACCAGCCTTTGCTTTTTTATTTAACTCCATAAATTTCTGATGGTTGGAAAGACTGTGGGAGTATGACCAGGGTTTTTGTCTTTTGTTTTGTTTTAAAAAACCACCCATTTAGTTGGCTACAGTCATAACTTTTTAAAGTTGTCTTCTGTTTAGGGACATTAGATCCCAATACATGAGATAGCCATTTGTTTATCTACAGAGATTTTACAGAGACAAATCCAAACCAAGGCCAACAGTAGGTATGATTTAGGAGAAAAATACAGTATCATGTGATAACAGGAAAGCTAAATATTCATTCTTCTGCTTGCAGCAAGGAAGCATTTTCTTAATATGCTTTACTTCTTAATTGTCACCTATATGCATTGCAACATACCAGTCTGCCAGAAAGAAGCCCAGGTTAGCTGTGAAACAGAAAGCACCACACATAGTGTGGGATTCATCTCTCTTTAGAAATATTTTGCTCCGTTCAATTGGATAAAAAAACAGTAACTTGAAAATTATGATTAAGCATTGGACACTGAAGCATCCAACTCACAGCATAAGACTACCATGAGATGGGAATCTCTTAGCAAGATAGAAAAATAACCAAGCCTGGCTATTTAGATGCCTGTATGTCACTGTCAGAAGTCTGGCACCTACATAAATGTAACATTTACTTTTGTGCACCAAATCACACAAGTCAGGTTAAGTATCAAAGGCACCTGAGTAAGTGCTCTAATGAACATGTGACAACAATTACATTTTTGTGGAGTCCCAGATGCTAACGGAAGACAGTACTCAACACAACAAACAATGGCAAACAAACAATAGGAATAAATGGCTACCACTCAATCAAATAAAGAGGTATGTAATTTGGGAGGAAGACGATAATGAAGCACTTTGGTCACATACATTCCAAACCACTCTGAGAAGAAAACAAACACTGTTTGACATGGGGGCAAGCTGCAACTTTACCTAAACTATACATGCTCAGAGTCAACTATTCAGAGAGTCCTAATCTCCAGAAGGGGTTAGACGCTCATTATTTGCATACCTCCTACTGTTAGCACTCTCAGCCGCTCCTTGAATACTGCAAGATCTGGGAGAAGGGGGTAAGGTGGGATGCAGAAAGGAGAAGACAGAGAGACCCAGTCAAAGTTAGTTTTTAAAAAACCCCAAAGAACCGCGGAAGTAGCAATATACAGAGAAAGTCAACGTTTTAAACAGTACTCACAAGCACACCGTCAACACCACCATAGGAAAGGAGGTTAGAATGAAGGATGACTGCAATACTACAGGGGGGAAATCCTTGAATGAATCTTTCAGAGCCAGCCATATAAACCATACAGAGAAAAAGAGGTGTGAAAGTTACCCGATACACAGCAGTTAAGCTACATGGTTTGAGATCTCCTCATTGTTTCCTTATGTAAAATATGCAAGCGGGGGGGGGGGGGGTTCAGGGCATCAAGTAGTAAACCAAGCGGTCTCTAGAGCAGGAGCCTAGTTTAAAAAGTACAAATGAATAAAAGAAAGCCTTCTTACAGAATCCCGTATCTGCTCCAGCTGAAGTAACTTCTTAGCACTTTCGTATCCCATTCTACCTCTGTGGAGCTCAAGGCAATGTACAAAGTGTTCACACACTTTATCCTCACAAACAACCCTGTGAGGTAGATTAGACTGAAAGATGTCAAAGGCTAATGAGGTTCACAGCTGAGACTGTGCATCCTATGTTTTTTCTCAACAAGCTAACTATTGACTACTCTGGCTCACCTGCTCTTTGGTTTGTCAAAGTCAGAACAACTGTCAATGGCTTTGCTTTAAAGTTTAAACCTAGCTTGGCTATCAACAGAGATTTCAAGGGCACCTCCTAATAAGGAACAATTTACTGGCAGGGTAATTTATTGGCAGGATTTTGCTAAACAGAAACTTATTGTGTACTACTGCAAGTCACTGCTGCTATGACTCATCCTTCTCAAATGGCCTCGACACCCAAAAGCGTTCTTTGTCCTGAACACAGCTTCTTCTGGGAGGGAAACCACCAAACCCTTTATCACAGGGAGCTGAGTAGGCACCTTCCTAAGCACGTTCATATGACCCTCTTGAGGTTCAGAGCTTCCACCACAGGATGATCATTAGCTTGGAATGTAACCATAAACAACTTTGTTCTCTGTATGCAGTTGTAAGCAGCTATAGCAAGATTCCTTTGTGCAACAGTATTTCAGTTGTGCCTCAGCCCCTGAACTAACGATCAGGTTGTGCTGATTGAATCATGGGTACGGTAGAGATATTTGAGAAAGCTTTGAATATCAAGGGCAGATCATGCCAAACGATGTGCTTAGCTCCATAAGAAGGCTGAGTGAATTGAACAAAGGCTTCGTTGACATCTGCTTGTCTTGGGAGACAATGGAGTGTGCCCGAGGGGGTGAAGTCAAACTGCTGCCCAGGTGACAAGACCCCGCCCCATCGGTTTCACCGATGTGGTCCAAAGAAAGCAAAGCAATACATCTGGCACCAGCTTGGCTGAAGGAGTTGCTGTAAGGAGCCCACAAGGTGCCACCCAACCGTCTTAGGGACTCCACTCTGGATTTGTGCAGGGTTTACTCCTTAGGTTTTTCTTCTGATTATATCTAGCAAGGCAAAAGAGGTTTAGGATCAGTGTTTTCCTTCTCCTAGATGGGCTACCTTCCCAGGTTGACGAGCCCCACCTGCTCCTCACTTCTCTCTGAAGCACGTGCAAAAACTGCCTTCTTAAGCATTGGACCCACTTTTGGTCTCATCTGATCAATCCGCTGGATCCTGTGTTCGCATGCAGGGCAAGACCTAACTCACCAACGGTTTAAGACCCATCGTCTACCGTCACCCGGTTTAGCTGGCCAGTTGAAGCTATTCCTAGGGTGTGGCCACTGTTACATGCTGACAGCTTCTAGGAGCCACAGGTGAGAGCTGAGTGCAAGTGGGGGCCAAAGGCGGACAAACTACCCCAGAGGTACCCAGTCATTTACAGACTGGCACATCCCCTACTCCTTCCCAAAAGCCATTAGTGTAGACAATGGCCAGTGTACTCACCTATGTGTTGTCCTCAGATTCTCTCAAGTACCAGTCCACAGGGGAGGTTATATTCCTCTCAGGTTAGTTTGGAGGGAGGTAAAAGAAATTTATGGGTTGCTGTCCCAAGGAACATCATGCCTTGTCCTGCAGCTTTCCAAATGAGTTTTCAGCACCATTAGCCATTAAATGAAGGAGAGGATCACATATATTGTAGAGTGACTCAGGTTCCTTCATAGGATCCCCGGAAAGATGGATCCAGAGCAAAATATAACAAGGCAACTATTTTGAAGAGCAAAGGGCACAATGCTGTGAAAGATGTTATGATTCATGATGTAGGAACAAGACAAAACCTGTCACTCATGCTCCACAGTCTGTCGCTGCTCCTTGCCATTGTTGGGAGTGGCACCTGATAAAATCTGAGGACACTTCATTGATGAGTTTATCGTCTCAGGTGTTATTCTAGATTTTGGTTCATACCAAAACAGTTTGCCTCTATGCATGGTGCAAACTGTATTAGAGAAAGGAATGAATCGAATATGGCCTAACAAATGGAACAAATCAATTTAGTCTAGAACAGATGATGTCCAAGTGGCAGCCTTACATAACCTTCTCTAGGAAACTTTGGAAGTGACGAATTTCTAAAGAATGTTAAGTTGAAAATTTAACCATTCTACGAACGTATTTCCATTTCACATGGTAAATTCTACTGGCGGACTGCTTATGCTAGACCACAAGAGTTCAAAACATTCACTGAACTCAAATGTCACATAATCAACCACAGCATGCAAGGACTGGGAGTCTTCATGTTCTGTGCTGAATATTTTGGGATTGGGTCCCAGGAGCAAATCAGTTAGAAACAGGAAATTTGTGTGGGTGGGCAAAAAGGTAGCTGCATAGCACTATTCCCTGACTCAAGGGCAAGAATGGACTGACTCACAGAAGCAGAGAGCTTGCCCTTCCAAAGACCTCCTGAGACAATGTGGATTGAACATTCTGTTTCCAGCCATAGGTTTGTTGCTAGACCTTGCAGGCCTGCTAATACAGGCCTTGTAAAAACAAACAACTAGCATGACATTTTCTGCTAAGTCAAAATACAGCAGAGGCTGCAGAAAAGGAAGGTGATGTGCCTACAGTCTCTGATGGGGTCTGTGTTTCTGTTTTACTGCCCTGAATGCAGCATAACCTATCTTGTAGAATAGCACTGGAGAGGAATAAGATTTAAAAAGTAACAATTCTATTTACATTTTATGGAAGAAGGAATGCTTGTTCTCCAAGGATAATAATAATATCTGCATTGGATATTGGTGAGACACCAATTAAACAATTAATATAGTGCTGTGAAAGCAAGGAATAAAACAAAGTAATATTTTGAATGAGAATGAGAAAATGTAGTTCTGAATCTCCCTGTCTTAATTATAAAGTAATTATAAAGGAATAACATGTCAAAATGTACAATAAGGGGGAACAGTATTATAGCAACAACTGAAGTTATTCTGCTAGATCACTTAAAACGGGCGTCCTCAAACTCGGCCCTTCAGATGTTTTTGGCCTACAACTCCCATGATTCCTAGCTAGCAGGACCAGTGGCCAGGGAGGATGGGAATTGTAGTCTCAAAATATCTGGAGGGCCGAGTCTGAGGAAGCCTGACTTAAAAGGTCAACATTTCCCCTCACTAAAATGTAAGCCACACTTCAATGGCTACTATCAACCACCTTTCACGTGACTCTCCCTAACTGGCATTTTCATATCTAGGAACATAGTGACTTTGTACTTGTTTGAATTTATGGTTTAAAAGGCAGGCACACAAGCTCAGCAGCACAAGGCCAGTACTTATCTCTACAAATTGTACTTTAGGATTATTTGGGACCAAAAATAATCACAGAGTTTATTCCTATGTGCAGCAAGCAGTTCAACATAACAAGATGAATACCTATACAAACCTCTTCCATAGAAGTTGATAAACTGCAAATGGATATCACTTAGCTTTCAGCAGCAAATAATGCATTCAGCATAAAAACTACATTAGCACAACGCTTCCACTATCAAAGGACAACAGTAACAAATTCATCCTTTCAGTGCTGCTAATCAGCAGAGAAGGGCTCTAGTAATGACGGAACCACTTCTCAGTAAGAATTTGGCCTTCCCCCCCCAATACTAGCTAGATTTGAATGATCTTATCCTATTTTTATTTATTTCATGAAAATTATATACCACTTGATTATAACCCCCCCTCAAAGTTATATATATGTGTGTACTGTATTGAGCAACTAATTAGTTTCAAAGGAAATAGCACGATATGTCTCTGAAAGCTTATTTTGCTGCTTATCTCCCAAGAGGCACAAGTTGTAGTTACTTATAGTCTCCCATTCCATTCCTGCAGTATGAATGGGGCATTGGTATAAAACAACTGGCTGCAGACCGGTGAACACTAAAAGCAGCAGAAATATGAGATGACTGGACCCTTACTGAACTCAAAGCATGGGAACCCCCAACAAAAATATATAATTTGGCAAAATATTTGGACTTTATGATATGTATTGGTATAATTTGGAATAATTAATGTGCTATGATTGGATTGTTAAATGGAAAACTTAATAAAAATTATTTTTTTTTAAAAAGAAACAACTGGCTGCAGGAGTCCCTTTCTTACAAACAGATATTACTATAAGGGCTCTGCCCTGCCCTTGATACAGGCCAGGTTTGCATGCAAAGCTAAGCCATGGTTTATTAAACAATATTTAGTATGATAATCTTCAAACTGCCTAGCAGCTGAACTATGGTATGTTAACCGCCAACAAACTGTGATGTGAAGTTTGTCGTTGGATTACGAAGCTTGACCTGTTATATCTATGACATGGCATTATGTGCGGATCAGACATATACCTTTAGCTATGGTTTGTTTGCTTACCCTGTTCAAGTTGCCTGCCAAGCAGCCCTTAAGAGCAGACCTGCTTGCCTTTATGTCTATAAGCACATTTATAAAGAAGCACAAAAAAGGAATTCAGTTTCCCAAAAAGGAAGTAGAGCTTGCAAAAAGAATAAACTATGTTGAGGTACAGTGTGTGCCAGCTGTTCCAATGCACATCCCAGGAAAACCAGCTGGTGTGTGGCTGGTGCATAACTCACCAGATTGCTGCAAGTTTACTAATACAGGTAGCAGCTCCCCTGTGTCATGAACTATACTCAGTAATAATTTCAAGAGCAAATTATCTTGAAGTTAACAAAACTGCTTTTTAACAAACTTTTTCTGAGCTACAGGTCTGTTGCAATAAGCACCCCGTAAAATCCTGTCAAGACATAGCACCCAATTTTAAGACAGCCTATTGAGCTTAAAACAATGCTTGAGAAAGCAGTTATATAGAGAGCAACCAACTGCTTAGATGTGGAAAGTAAACATGACTCAGTGGTAGAATACATGCTTTGCACACAGAAGATCCTGGGTTCAATCCCTGGCATATCCATTTAAAAGGCTCAGGTAGAAGGTGATGGAAAAGGCTTCAGCCCTGACATCCTGGAGAGATACAGCCATTCAAAGTAGACAGTACTGGACTAGGCAGACAAATGGTTTGGTACAAGGTAGTTTCCTACGTATTCCAGAATTTGTTCAGGATCCTGAGGGAGAGAGGTGGTAAGCAGGGCTCTTCCATCAGCTCTACTGAGATACCAGGAACATTTGGCTCTCCTCAGTTTTCACCTAACAGTACCCATTGCATCAGGCTACCTGAACTGCTTCCACCCATCTGGTTGTTGTATGAGCTGTAACTTTTAAGAGCTAGTGCCTGAGCTTGCACACATTTGCCCATTTTGTAATATGCCCGTTTTGTTGTAGTACAGAGTATACACAACTACGGTAATTCCACACTGGACAGAAACGGATGCTGCTGTATCAGTGAGAATACACTTTTGGCTACCATTGTTGTAAGGCACATGAACCACTCTACACCTTACTGAGTTTGCAGTGTCCATTGCCACAGATAACTTAGCATGTAAGGTGGCACATATTTATCACAATACAACCTAGCTACTGTCTGAGAGCCCCATAAGACTGGATAAGATACTAAATATTAGTAGATTAAAAAATCATCACTTGTGAATATTTAATATCCCAGTTAACTTTATTTAATGTGAAACAGCTTTGATTTCACTCTCTGATCAGAAAAAGATTATCTAAAGAATTTCATACATACACTGTCTATGCAAGGTGGCAGAGTTATATACAGCTTTATTAAAATCTTAGGGTTCACATATATGAACATGTATAAAACTGGTGGTGGTGTAACTCTACCCTTGTGAAGTATTAATGACAGACTTCAAGAGTAATAATGAATCCATTATCAAGCAGGGACATAAGTAAAATAGAGCTAGATTCTCTATGCTGCAGGGACCCACCTATGATTTTCCCCCTCAAAATGTCTATTCCATCTTAATTCATCACCACCACTCCACTGTAAAGGGGTGCTGTACTCCACTGTCCTGTATCTGACATACTTGCTTAAGATGATTTAATGTGTGCAATGTCAAAGGAGTACTGTAGAACACATTAGGGATCCCCTCCAAAGGCCTGAAAAGAACCCCTGGACTTCACGACCAACGTTCTTTGTATGAGTAATGGATCTTTAACGTAAAGGGGGCAACAACATCAGAACGCCAACTGTAAGTTGAAGATGACAGTGTAGCCAAGTGGACTGAACATGAGTAGAACAGCATCCATTACAGTTTTGTTTTTTTCTCCTTTGGATACCTTCCATTTCACAAATATACATTCTATGAGCACATCAATCATGACCATCTCAAAACATTACATGCACAAATACTCTAATCACATGTCAGTCTTGAAAGGAGTTAGTGGTCATTATTATTGTTCTATTCTAAGTTAGAAGCATGCTACTTAAAAGCGCTTGCGGAGGCAGGTTGATTAACCTGTAGAAAGCACCAGCAATAAATAGAGCTCAGCCACCGTAACCTGTGCTATGCTTGGAAAAAATACTAGTGATCAAACTTAAAAGATCAGGTTGGGCTTTACTGGAAAACCGAATTTCAAACATGGCTCAGCACACATCCCCTCATCTGAGCAACATACATGCACCTTGCAACCAAGGGTCTCACCATTTCAGTCTCTTGATTAGATGTGGGAATAAACTCCAAAGCTTCCTCGTCATGATCACTGAAAGTCATTGGTTCAGCTACTCTTAGGATTTTAGGGCAAGCTGCATAGCTAAGGATTACAACTGAACTGAGTGAGGAAATACCACAAGACTTGCCTGAAGGCTTTTGAAAAACCATCCCGTTCCTCCCCAGTAGCATCACTGCAGAACTCTTGAAGTCTGCTGAATCAAGTCACTGCAGTTCCAAGCAAGAGACCTACTGAACACTGGGGGTCAAGGGATGCTAAAGGCAAGGAAGAAGGCCTGTTTACGTGACTCCAAAATATTCCTCATTTCCTCAGAGGCAAATAATAGACACTACTAACCTACTCAGAGCCATTAACTACTGAACTCAAAATTAACAGTAGAAGAGAACAAACTGGCTAGTATTGCACATGTAACACCTTGTGCCCACAGTGGTAAGTGACAAGGGACAGAACTACTTTGCTGCTGTTCAATTTTTAAAAAAGTGATCATTATAAAGGAAACTTAAGACCTTTCCCTTCAGACTTAGTGAAGCAATCTAACTAGAAGCTGTGAAAGTGAGAGAGGAGGAGCTCAAGCAATGCGGCACTAACTGCTCTCGGAGCCCTCACCCAGTTTATCTGCGGAAGTGATAATATCGGCTGGAACGGAAGAGTCCAGATCAGCATCCAAGATGCCCAGTGGGTCGAGCTGTGCTACATGATGCCCTCGAATCTATGAAATGGGCCAGGAATGAAAAGGAAAGTGGATACCAGAAGAGGGATGGGGAGGAAGGGGATGGAAAGGAAAGGGGTATAAAAGTTAAAATTACATTAGAATTAATTTGCAGAGTAATTCTCACCGACGTTTGGAGAATCAGTTACTGCCGATTCATCAAAATTTACACAACTAATGCCGAGAGGATCAAGCTTGGCAATGTGGTGACCCCTGACCTAGAAACAACAACAAAATTAGTCACAAAGCTGGTTATCAATCATGTTTCACATTGCAGATTTTCTGTAATGCTATTGTTTCAAGTTTACAGAGATCAATGCAAATCTTAACACTGATCTCATTTTACACCATATGTCAGACTGGAACCGAACTTTTCTTAAACGAAAGGAGTAAAAATACTTTAATAGTACAAAAACCCAGTGGGGCAAAGGGACATCCATGATAAATATTCACTTAGAAATGTGGAAAGTGCTGAATACATCTGTTAAAATGCTGCTTATTTTTGTAAATTCATTCCCAGAAAACATCTTTGTGGCTTACATTCAAAAAGATGTAGCCCATGATGGCTCGGTTTCATGTCCTTATTCTAAATATTAGATGGGATCTTGAAGGACATGATTGTACAGCTTATTAGATGCAATAAGTAAAATAAGTAGTGCCTTTACGATGTTTGCTGATATATTTCCTCAGCCAGTCAAGGGATGAACATACCTGATTAACACATTTGTCTGGAAGTGGCCTTGTTGAGATTTATTTCTTTTCTATTTAACTCCACTTTTGCATTTCAATTAAAAATCCTCCATGAGGCCCAGCTTCAAGAGAATATATTGCTTTTAGCTATTGTTCTTCTACAGAAACATGCTTGCTCCTTCAAAAGTTTTCTCTGTATTAAAATTCCTTGTGCCCAAGCATGTTTTATTTGGGTCATGCAAACTGACAAGTCAGACATTAATCAGCAAGAATTTCAGCCCAGAAGCATGAACGATGTAACTAGTAACTTTTGGAATTTGAAGCTTAATCACTATACAATAAACTAAACATCTGCTTAATGTAAATATGTAGGAACTGGATTTCACTTTCACTTCTTGAGTTATCATGTTTTAAAAGAATTGTCAGAATTTAAGCGCTTTACCATTCAGAAGCCAAACTACATATTTTTTACATTATTCTTGTGAAGGTTGTATTATTACTGGATGATTTAAAAAAGACTACATCTAATAGGCTGCTCACTCTTATTTGTATTGTTTGAGCAATAAGAGATTATTATTGGTATCTGCCATGGATTAGCAGAAACACCAGAGACCAGATGCCTCAGAGACCTCAGTCCCACTGCTGCTGTTTAGTTCTGATTCATATCATTGATTTCCTCAGCGGCAGCCAATTATTACATCTATTTCCATTAGAACCTCTTCCTAACTAGTAAATCTTTTCTGATACAGTATTTGTGGATGTGACAATTAAACAACAGTTATCTGTGGATGATAGCAACAAAGTCATACTCATATTAGATCCAGTTGGATATCACCCATGTATATAGAGTGAAATCAACAAACTTGTTACTTAAATTCACTGATTTCAATGAGTCTACTCTGAGCATGACTAACTTTATCACCGTTTCTAGTGAAGAATCTTACCTGTTTCCTTGTTTGTTTCCAGAACTTGAAGAGAAAGATATAGCAAAAGAAACTGCAATGGGAAAAAGCTGTCCCAAGGAGTATAACACTCTGAAGGATACAATCATTTTAACACATTCTTTTTACTTGTATACTCTGATCTTTTTCAGGCATATAGGTAAAAGCACACCATTGTGTGACAATCATTTAATAGGAGACTGTTTTTATCAAGGAAAAATTGACACATTTTGCAAAGCTTTAAGTTCAGTAGATATCACATAGCCTACAATTAGTTGTTTGAGAAATATTTTCAAGCTTTCATACTAGCCTCTTAGGGAAGTATTTGACGATCCTTTCATGTAGTTTTAGTAAAATTATCCTAGTTTTGAAATTTTCATTTTTTGTGTGTGCATTAATTTTCTAGCTATTATAATCTTTAACTCTGCCTTATCTTTCATGATTCCACACAACCCACCTGCACAAAGCAGCAGCTGAATAGAGCTGTCTGCTGCTATATCACACGTCTTGTTCCTGAAACCTGGCCAAAGCCAGGGTGATATTTTGGCAAACCATGATCTACCGTATTTTTCGCTCTACAGGACGCACTTTTTCCCCTTCAAAAATGAAGGGGAAATGTGTGTGCGTCCTATGGAGCGAAGATGCCATAGCCCCGCAACCCTCTCCCGGCTGGAGAGGTGACGCACGGCTATGGCAGGAACCTCTACAGCCCCGTGTCACCTCTCCAGCCGGGAGAGTGCGCACGTGGGGCTAAAGCAGCCCCCCGCGACCCTCTCCCGGCTGGAGAGGTGACGCGCGGCTATAGAGGCTCCTGCCATAGCCGCGCGTCACCTCTCCAGCCGGGAGCGCGCGCGGGCTAAAGCAGCCCCGCGACCCTCTCCCGGCTGGAGAGGTGACGCGCGGCTATTGAGGCTCCTGCCATAGCCGCGTGTCACCTCTCCAGCCGGGAGAGCGCGCGCGGGGGGCCCCCGCGACCCTCTCCCAGCTGGAGAGGTGACGCGCGGCCATGGCAGGAGCCTCTACAGCCCCGCGTCACCTCTGCAGCCGGGACAGCGCGCGCGGGGCTAAAGAAGCCATAGCCCCGCGACCCTCTCCCGGCTGGAGAGGTGACGCGCGGCTATGGCAGGAGCCTCTATAGCCGCGCGTCACCTCTCCAGCCGGGAGAGTGCGCACGTGGGGCTAAAGAAGCCATAGCCCTGCAACCCTCTCCCGGCTGGAGAGGTGACGCGCGGCTATGACAGGAGCCTCTCCGCTGCGCCTTTCTGCTGCTCCCTGACCTGCTCTTTGGGGCTGGTGGTGGGCTTCCCCCCGCCAGCCCCAAAGAGCAGGTCGAAAGGAACCTGAAGCCTGAGAGCGAGAGGGGTCAGTGCACACTGACCCCTCTCGCTCTCCAGGCTTCCAAGGTAGCCCACAGAATGCACCTTAAACGGCACCATGTTTTAGAGCGGGAAAACAAGAGGGGAAAGTTCTCCCCTCTCTGTGCAGCGCCTCCTGCTGCTTCACTGCAGGGGCGCTGGGCAGAGAGGGGGAAATTTTTTTTTCTTGTTCTCCCCCCTCTAAAACAAAGTGCGTCCTATTGTCCGGTGCGTCCTATGGTGCGAAAAATACGGTACTTTCAGTTTTGGAAAAATGCTAGAAGTAGCAGGTTGGTTTATCTTCTTTTGATACTCTAACAATAATCTAACAATCTTGTGTATTTTGAAATCTGCTTGAGGTTAAAGGGTAGGGATTTTCTTTTTAAAAGTAACATTAAGAATGGAAACTTTTTTGAGACCATGGATTAGATCAAGAAAATCGCACATTTTCTAAGCACTAAAATGGCAATGTTGTAACCTTATGTGGTGGGCTTTCGATAAGCTTTATATGGTGACAGCAGTAGGCCAGTCTTATCATCTCAAGCTTTCATAGCCACAGGCTACCTGATCTGTGTGATGCTGTTCTTCCTAAAAGTGAGGGAGATCAACTCTCCAGCAGCCACTGAGTCTCCCACTGGTGTGTGGGTACACAACATCGCTCATTCCATTTCTGAAGACCAGCTATAGCTATAGCTTACCATAAAAAGGCAGATGAGATGTTTACACACACTTCATTTCTGCACATAACTTCTCCTGAGCAGTCTACTGTTCAAGAACAAATTTTGGTGTATAGAAAGTTTGCCCACGTACTGGCATACAGAGTGTAATATAGCTCAGCCTGGGCCTGAAGTGGCAAATCTATATCTGCCAGTGTGGGATGCAAGGCACTCACTGGTAGAAGGAGAACTCCTACTCCAGTTTATTTTCCCTAAATTCCTATCAATGTTTGATTCTTTAAGTCTTATTTTGGAGGCAAATACACGCGTGCACACACACACATATATACATACACATATATACACAGTATATGAATCTCTCTCTTTTAAACTTGGGGCTGGCAAAAAATAGTGCTAGATGTTTACACATCAGCAGAGAAGTAAGAAGAGGTTATCTTACCTGATAGGCTCTAATAAGAGACTGGACTGCAAGATGATCTTCAACCAGTTTATCTACATTCGGCTGTGCTTGAACCAGAGACTGTGCGTGTGTTAGCGTTGATAGGCTGGTACTTAATGGAGGGGGGCTTTGGTAAGCAGTACCTGGAGCAGCTCCAGCATTGGCATTGCGAAAGAATATATCCCATGACTAAAAAAAGAATAAAGTAATTTTTTAGAGTGAGAATTACCTCTTCGAACTTAGTATGTTTTTCTACCATTTCAAATATTTTCCTACTACTATGCACATTGCCAAAATGATATTCAAACTGTAAACTTCAATAAACAGAGCATTGCAGTTTTGGGTTGTAGAATTTAGATCAGGAAAATGATATGGGGAGAAATAGTTAAATAGCACAATTGCTCTGATCGATTTTAGACCCATCATTGCTACTTTTATGTAAACAAAAAAAAAAAAATATCAGATGTTCTGGTAAAATGTTTCATGCAATATATAGTTTGGTCATCAGTTGCTCTTATGATGAGACCACATACCATTCTTTTCAATGTCCTGGGTTGCCCCAGATCTTCTAATGAGCAAAAAGCAAATGCAAAAGCAACGTCTTGACTCAGTTACCATTTTCCAGGAAAAAGGCGGGCAACCAAACACAAAGTATGCATACACAGGCATGTGCCCATGAGAGCAGTAGGTAAGAAACCAAAAGAATACAGTCTTTTCCATTCAGTAATTTGGAATTGAGCCTTATCTGTTGCTAGTTAGGAAACAATGGCAATGTCTGAGATATGGTTTATCTGATTTCTAGAAAAAAAACACCTTAAATCTCTAAGGGATGTAACAACTCTTCAGTATAGCAATAACCTGTAATATTAGCCATTATAGTTAATATTTAACATTGTGACTTCAGCCTGAAGGAAATAGCACCAGCAAATGGTATCTAAAGTTCTTTTCAGGTCAGACTAAGTTCTAGAGACTGTCCTATCCATGCTATTTGATGACTAAGTAGAGGTGACTGCCAACCATTAGCTGTGAGATGCCGCATATAAAACAGGTTAAGGCTCAACTATTCATTAAGACATTATTCAGTGCTTCCCTTTTCAGTGACCTAAAAATAAAAAAGGAACCGATTCACTTCTCCACCCAGTTGTCACAAGTCTCAAATGAGTTTGTAACCTGCACACTTAACCCATCATTAGAATTCCAGAGAACATCCCTCCACCTACCAAAGCTAGGGAGGAAAAAAAGTGTTAACAACAGTATTTAAGCATAGCATGTCCTTACCAAATGTGTCAATTACCGAAGTCACAAGATCTATACAGTACAGCATGTTTTCAGCTGGTACAGCATGAGTGCCTGGCTCAAATTTAATTTCTTCTAGGTATTTAAGTCAAGCCACTTTTACTTAGCCTTTGCTCCCATCTATAATACAGGAATATTGTAATAATACCGATCTACATTTTAGGCTTTCGTTAAGGTTTACAAGAAAATAAAAAGTGTGATGCAATAATTAGGCACTATAGATACCATGTAACTGCTACTTAGAATACAGTGGTACCTCAGGTTAAGTACTTAATTCATTCCGGAGGTCTGTTCTTAACCTGAAACTGTTCTTAACCTGAAGCACCACTTTAGCTAATGGGGCCTCCCGCTGTCGCCGCCGCGCCGGAGCACGATTTCTGTTCTCACCCTGAAGCAAAGTTCTTAACCTGAAGCACTATTTCTGGGTTAGCAGAGTCTGTAACCTGAAGTGTATGTAACCTGAAGCATATGTAACCCGAGGTACCACTGTACAAGTGGAGAACCTTAAAAAAATGTTGTGGTTTATTTCCTAACAGGGCTCCAGCAAGATAGCTCAGTCATCACAGCGTGAGACTCTTAATACTAGGGTCGTGGGTTTGAGCCCCACATTGGTCGAAAGACTCCTGCATTGCAGGGGGTTGGACTAGATGACCCTCATCGCCCTTTCCAACTCTACAATTCTATGATTTTACATAGGGCTGTTCAAGGCCTGTAGTGGTAGTGAGGAAGATTCACCCAAGCACTTCATTGCTAAGGGAGAGAAAGGTTTCCGAGAAGGGTAGTCTTTAGCCCAAAATCTCCCCACTCCTCCAATTTGGAGGTCCTTGCTAAATTCTGACACATTTGGTTTTAGTGTTGCAAGGAAGCTTGGCATCCACAAATCTGCAGAAAAACATACCTTTGCAGAGTCCTGCTGTTTATAGAAAATGAACCTGGCTTGCCAATGTTTTGCCTCAAGTAGCAAGGAAGCATAGTCCCTAGCTACTCCACATCCTGTTGCTGTTCTTCAAGTTTTCACACAGGTATCCCTCAGGTGCTGTCACAGCCAGATGGCTGGGAGTTGCATGTGAATGAAGCAACCAAAGGCATCTCTCCATTAGTGTCTGTGTCTATAACTGTGTGTCAAAGGCAATACAGTACCAACAGCAATAAACTGTTATTGGCTGTTCTACCTACACTCCCACTGTTTTCCTCACTTGTTCCCTATGCACTTGGATGGTGTTTCACCTGTCACCTTCTTAGCAGTAACAATATTTATAAAAAGATTGAACTTTATCTCTTTTTCTTGTGCACACCCATCCTACCCTAGGTCCCTATTCCCACACTATTTACTATAAATTGTCAAGGCCAACAGGCTAATCTGCTCACTTTCATCTTCTAATCCCTCACTCCCCACCCCAACCGACACACACAATATTCTGTAGGAGAAACAGGGATCCTTTGATTTTTAATATTATATTATAATAAGAATAAAAGGAAACAAAAGCAAACATCCATCTGGTCTTAAATTATAGAATTAAAAAATGATGTAAGGTTGTAAAATTGTCTTGAGAGCTGTTGTTCCAAAACATAATATCAATCTGATTTTTAAGCTAGTACCTGGAAAAGTAAACCAATTTAATTAATAAAGTGATATCTTTAACACTAATGAGGTATTCCAAGATTTGTGTGATTTTTCCCCCCAGGTTTGCGGGCACCCTCTTTTAAATTTACAAACTAATGGGCAAGATTCATCTAATGAGCCCAGCCAGCATTTCAGCTTGCCAGACACAACAATCCTCTCTCTACTTCTCCTGCACTTTATTTTGGGATTTCTCCCAACCCCCTCAAAGGCAATTTCCACAGGGCTCCCACGGGGGGGGGGGGGGGGGCTTATTAGATGAATCCTGTCCTTACCCTGAAAAATCCAATAAGTAAAAATAACCCATCATACATCTGAAGTAACCGATATGGAAGAATGTGAGCATTTTTAAAAAGGGGCTCTCTGCCACATGCATGGCAAAGTTTTCAGTGGGTGGCCTCTAATTCACTCTTAATTTCTTCTTCACTGGAGTACAACAAAGCCAAGAAGTATCAATTTATTTGCATCTGCCTCAATTATTTTGACACCACTTATTCTTGTTTCTTTCTTCTCATGGTAGGTGCAGTATGTATGGCTAATTAAGTGGTTATTTCAGTGAATATTCTCATAAATTTATATTAGATTTTAAACACAAAAAGTTAAACTGCAAGCTTACTATTTGCTATCTGAGCCCTAATGCAACGCTACCCTTTACCTCATGGGATGCGGCTGGCGCTGTGGTCTAAACCACAGAGCCTAGGGTTTGCTGATCAAAAGGTCGGCGGTTCGAATCCCTGCGACGAGGTGAGCTCCTGTTGTTCGGTCCCAGCTCCTGCCCACCTAGCAGTTCGAAAGCACGTCAAAGTGCAAGTAGATAAATAGGTACTGCTCTGGCGGGAAGGTAAATGGCATTTCTGTGCGCTGCTCTGGTTCGCCAGAAGCGGCTTAGTCATGCTGGCCACATGACCTGGAAAAACTGTCTGCGGACAAACGCCGGCTCCCTCAGCCTGTAAAGTGAGATGAGCGCCGCAACCCCAGAGTTGTCCACGGCTGGACCTAATGGTCGGGGTACCTTTACCTTTTACCCTTTACCTCAGAGCAATTGTTCTGACATTTCAAGAAAGTTATTGTATATGAAATATTTATAGATAGATAACTATTATCTAAGGAATGCATGTTCACCCCCTTAGCCCACATCTTCACTGCCTTAAAAAACAAACAAAGTGGGGACAGGCTCCCCAACCTCCATTTAACAATTATGCCTGTATAAGGATCACACTCTTGTTGTAGGGTGATGTGATCTGCCAACATAGCAACTTTCTCTTTTGCACTGACACTGCAGTCTCTTCTCCTCCCATCTGCCAAAGAAACTGACAGAATGCCTGCATAAGCACTTTAGCTTACAGGGCTCAATATTTTGTTTTACTAATTTGATTCTGGATTTTTATCAACAGTATAATTTTCATTATTTGTATTCTACCCTCCATTTTATGGTTTTCACTTTGTAACCCACCCACCCACATATCTATAAGTTCATAAAATAAAACACCATGCAGTATCCTTTACAGTTCTTACTCATAGTCACAACCACCATCGTCACAACGTTCATTGCTCAACTGGAATTACAGATGTCTGTACCAGGTGTGAAGTGTGTTCATAATGAGATGACACTTGAAACCAGATCCCTGTAGGAGCTTGTAGAAGTTTAAATTACTGCAAAATTTTGAGACACAGGCACTTGCTGGAGATGCACATCATAAAAGGAACTCAGCACATCTAACAAACTCAACATAAATGTTTTTTTCTGCTAAGAATCTACACAAACTGGAAGTCAGACAGCCTAGATAAGTTATATATGTGTTGCTGTATTGTTTTTAACACTCGATTGGGAGCCACCCAGAGTGGCTGGGGAAACTCAGCCAGATGGGTGGGGTACTACTACTACTACTACTACTAATAATAAATAACAACAACAACTTTCAGAAAAACTTCACTGTGCAGAAATATTGGCTATGCAACAGTTAATCATCACTCACTAGTCTAAACTATGATGAAACTACAGAATGGTTGCTTTACCAGAAATCTTTTTAAAACAAAGCTGGGAATTCATATACAGCTTTTGAAAACAGTGAGTACTTTCGTTCACCAACATTTAAATTATATATGAACAGGACAGTTCAACACATTATGCACTGCTGCTAAAGATTCCTGCACCAATTGCACCAGAAGTAATGCATAAAAGTGCACATATATACTTTCCAGACATGGACACAAGGGTGTTTAAAACACCTGTATTACTTTCACACTCAGAATAGTTCTGTACCAGTTTCCTGCAGCAATAGTAACTTGTTGTTGTGGTTTAAATTAGTTTAGCTTACCAGGATTCTGTTACCAGTGGCTGCAATGCAGTATGGATTAGCTGAAAAGGAGCTCAGCTGTGAAACTATTAGACTAATTATAGTTGTGTTTTGCCTTGCTCTGAACTACTTTCTAGCTCTCTGTATCCCATACACCATTTAAGTTGTTCTAGTACTTGTTCTTGATCTACCTCCAATCTGGCCTTATGCGAACCCAGATTATACTGTGCCATTGCCTTGGCAACTGTCCTGTCATAGCTAGTTCTACAGTAAGCCAGCAGTTCCGGTTCTGTATGCAAGCACTCTTTGACCTTCAGACAGGCAACTGGATTTCATTACATGTTATCTCAAGAGACATGGACTACTTTCCCCGATAAAAGTTTAGAATTCCTAGGTGTTGAAAGCATCTTGAGCGGTGAACTCATAGCAGCTCAAAGGTCAGGGCACACACCAATACAATGTCATTATGCTGCAATGTGTACAACCCTGCAGTAGAAAGGTTCTTTCCTATGGGTATGTTCAGCAGATGGGCCTCAGAAGTGCATTTCTTCCAAATTCATGAAAGAAACCAGTTCCAGTAGAGATAAGGATTACAGAGCTTCAGAAACAGGTTTAGCTATGAATCTCAGACTTGCGATTGACCTTCTTTGGTATTTAGGGAATCCAGAAAGCAAGCTACCATAAATATTAGTAAATCACCTCATTGCCATGCCCTGATAGATAAATCTAATGAGCTTATTATAGCTTACTTGCCTAGATATCCATATAGTAGGATATATCTGGTATATTTATGCTTTAATAGAAAAAGAGCAAATAAGACATCTGTGTAATTTAAGAAAGCTAACATCTAGAGGAGATTTTTAACAAAGGCTACCAAGCAAGTCTCTGTAGACAAACTAGTTAACAGAAGAATGTTCTGTCTGTCTTACACAGAGGGTGCTTAGCTTTTTATAATCTAATACTACCATCTACAGTGGTGCCCCGCAAGACGAATGCCTCGCAAGACGGAAAACCCGCTAGACGAAAGGGTTTTCCGTTTTTGAGTTGCTTCGCAGGACGAATTTCCCTATGGGCTTGCTTCGCAAGACGAAAATGTCTTGCAAGTCTTGAGATTTTTTTCGTTTCGCCCCCTTTATCTAACCTGCTAAGCCTTTAATAGCCTTTAATAGCCTTTTAGCAGCTAATCCGCTAAGCCTTTAAGCCTTTAATAGCCGCTAAACCGCTAATAGCGCTAATCCGTTAAGCCGTTAATAGGGTTGCTTCGCAAGACAAAAAAACCGCTAGACGAAGACTCTCGCGGAACGGATTAATTTCGTCTTGCGAGGCACCACTGTAATGTGAAAACAGAACATACAATTTTTAAAACCAACCCATAATGCAAACTAAAAAGTGCTGGTAACACTAAGCCAGTGGTGGAGTGTCTCCAGGCCACTGGGGACATGTGCACATGTACATGGGCGTGCCCAGGGGGAGAGCACAAACGGAGTCCACTGCCGTGATACCAGCTCTGAGCGGCAGCTCCTCTCCACAAGCATTGGTTCCTCCAATGTTGGGAGAGGAGCACCGGGCTGGGACACGCTGCGGGCATTTGCTACACACACCCTCAAAAATCCATGCCCGGGGCCATGGCTCCTCTGGCACTCCCCCATGCTGCGCCACTGCACTAAGCACAGAACAGCCAACTGCAAATAGCAGAGACCAAGGTCAAACAGTCCAGTTGCAACTACACACGTCAAGTAATTTAGCATTTGCTTCCTTGTTTCGGTCTCATACTATATCACTCGCGTCACATGGGGCTACTGATGAATAGCTAACAAATTATTTGCACAGCATTGACAGAAAAAGGGCACCAAGCTGCTTCCCCACTTGAAGGCAGCTGTGGGAGTGAAATATGTTTACATGAAACCATGAACACTGCCACACTTTAAAGCTGCATGTCATAGATTATTTATACCAGTTCATTGGTGTTCACTGTTAAATACGCAAAGAGGGAATGAATGTTCATTGATGGTTCGGCATAATATAAATTTGCTGAAATGAAGTCAGATGCTTTCTCAAACATATCAATATTTAAGTACACTGAAACAACAAGCTAGCATGTGTGTCTTCTCTGGGTAATTATTTTTTTAAAAACATTCTATGCTGTCAGTTGCTCTCCTCAGCATGGACAGAAAAAGGTATGTGATAGCAGATTCTGCATCAGAGTCTAGAAACTATTTAAGACCTCCCATTCCATTATTGGCATGCATTAATTTCTACTGGGTATGTACCGTATTTTTCGTCCCATAGGAAGCTCCGTCTCATAGGACGCACCTAGTTTTTTGAGGGGAAATAAAGGAAATTTTTTTTCCCTTTATTTCCCCCCCAAAACCAGGTCAGGGAAACTGAACCAGGTCGAGGGACAGTGGGATGGTGGCGCTGCGCCTCCCTGCTGTCCCCCGAGCTTGTGGGGCTGGCCGATGTCTGCCCGGCGCGAGGGGCGCTCTGCTTCAGGGCGCCCTGTGCGCCGGGCAGCAGGCTGCTATCCGCAACGCGGGGAGCCCTGCGGGAGTTCCCGCAAGGCTCCCCGCACTGCGGATGTCTGCCCGGCGCGAGCGGCGCTCTGCTTCAGGGCGCCCCGCCCGCCGGGCGGCAGGCTGCTATCCGCAGGCTAGACATCCCTGCGGGAACTCCCGCAGGGCTGCCTAGGTTGCGAATGTGTTCCTGAAGCGCCCGGCGCTCCAGGAAGCAGGCTGCGAGTCGCAGCCTAGCCGGCCCTGCGGGCACTCCCGCAGGGCTGCCTAGGCTGCGGATGTCTTCCTGAAGCCTGGAGAGCGAGAGGGGTCGGTGCGCACCGACCCCTCTCGCTCTCCAAGCTTCAGCGAAAGCCTCCATTCGCCCCATAGGACGCACCCAGATTTCCCCTTCATTTTTGGAGGGGAAAAAGTGCGTCCTATAGGGCGAAAAATACGGTACTATGATCAAAGTATTTTGCACTCTTCTGTATACATGTAGCTAGTCCAAAACATGAAGTCTTACTTAAAAGGACTTGGGAGCATGACATTCAGATAATGGATGTACTTGAACTCGTAGCAGAATAAATTAGGAGTCATGTGTAGCTTTATCTTAGCAGAAAACAATGAAGCCATAATTAAAGCTGTTTCTCAAATGTGATAAACAGCTAGCAATATAAGTCACTATTCATCCAGAATGACCAAGTTTAAAATAAACACACACATGTTAAATCCATGGCTTAAAATGACAGACACGTGAATGTGGTTGTTATTTACACTATAAACAGAACTGTTCCTATACAAAAGGAGACCTGTCTCAATTACTTCAAAAAGGAACATCAACAGCAGCTCAGCAATTCCTCAGTGGACATCCAAGAAGAGTTCATCCTTCTTTATATCCATGCCAAAGCCAAGAAGATTCCTCAGGGGGAAGGCGGTCATAAACTTTCCAAATTCATTCCGATGTTGATTCTCTCAGTGCTATTCTTTGTCAGCCGAGCCATTTCAATTTTTGCACAACTGAAACTGACTGGATTCAGAAGGTTTCCAGGTTCTTCTTCAAGTTGTCAAGTTGGAGCTCACTCTGACAAAATGCACTTACCTGAAGACATGAGAACCAAAGTGTAGAAGAACAGGCTTTATTCTAGGGAGGCTGCTCCTTACCTTATGTACACTTTTGGGATTTTCCAACCAAGCATAGTACATTTCCTCCACATAGTTTGAACTAGTCCCACTCAAAAATGGCTCAGCAGCAACAGGTGCACTGTAGCACCTGATTTGTTGAAACGTCCTTGGCGCTGCTGGCTTGTTCTGAGAAATTGTCTTAACAGTCTGTGAGGCTGTCAGAGGCCTCAGTTTAGTAGCACAAGTCCTTAAGTGAAACATTTTTGTTATGAAGCAGACGGGCTCCTGTTGGGAAAGAAGAAATAATGATTCAGTCATAAAATTTAAAAAAATGCACAGGCTGAAAAGATAATCATTCATCTGATTAATCATGTTTATCTGTTGCAATATCTATACTAAAGTTCCATAGCAAAGTTAATATCTTGATGTTCACTGAGTACATCAGTAGCAAAGTAGGACAAGCTAAAACTTGCTGCTGGAGAAAAGGAATGAAAGGTACAATCCCTTGCACAGTTTAGTACACTGTTTTAAGGTGCTTTAGTCTTTGTTGTATTGTGATCAGTGACACAGGAACACTTTAGACAATTTAAATTCCAGATAAAGGGATAAATCGATGAAATTGACCAACAATACTGCTCAGTGACAAAGCCAATAAGTCAAGCATTATCACAGTGAATGACCGTGAGAAAGACTACTTCTAAAATAAACTCTGGAAGATATAGCATCTACTCAGCCAGAAAAGAAGCCCTGCGGGATCAGATCAAGAAACTATTTAGTTCAGCATGTTACTTCCAACACTGGCCCACCCTGTGCTTCCCAGAGAATAAGAAGTTGCTTTATACTAGATCAGATGTATTGATCTCGCTAGTTCAATACTGTCCAGTCTCACTGACACCAGCTTTCCTAGATTTGGGGCAGAACTCTTTCACAGCCCTGCCATTGTTTAACTGAAGATGCTAGGCATCTAGCTGAAGTTGGCATATGTCTATCAAAGTTACTGGCATTTAGTTTCCACAGCCTGTAGTTCTCTCCTGTCCCAACATTTTACACACGGTGTTCGAAACTGAGATATAAAAGCTAGGAGCTAAATGGCACCTTAAACCTAGGTTATGGGCGCAACAACAGAATGTCTAGGTGCACTTTTTTATAACATGAACTGCAGCTAAAAATCATGTTCATTTTTCACATGGTCTAGTCCTTCCCCTGCCCACCCCCCCCACCCTCCAATATTCTTAAGAGGGTCTCTTCTCCAGTCTTCAGAGAGTAGCTGGAAGTGGGGAGGCAAAAAAGGTCCTTCTTTCCTTCTACTCTGCAGTTTTAATCTGAAATCTTCGACGCAGTACTGCGCCCAGAGCTCAGAAACTGCTCGCGCTAATGAAATTCCCTGTCACAAAATTCGCCTAGAACAGTGGGAGTTTCGAATACTGTTTCTATGTTATCAGCTCAAGTTTTTCCTGGAAAAGGCACTATGGATGTAGTTATTGTAAAAACACCATACTACCCCTCAGAATGCATTCCACAGTTCTCTGCTTACATCAGCAAGGTCATCACAATGTCAAACTTTGGAAGATCCAATCACTAGGACAGGAAACCAAGTGCAGTAGAATGCTCTTTGAATCAAATAATGCTGAGCAATGAGGAAGAGCAGAGTAGCCAATAATGTATTTAACTAATTACGCCTTTAAAATCTTCACTATTCTACTGACAAGACCTGCATTTTAAACAGCTTTGTTTTCTAAAAGGTGGAAAGTAGCAAAGCAACCCACGCTAAACACAGATTAGTTTTGAAGATTTGCTCCTTAAGAATAGCTCTCTACCAGCCTGAAAGTAGATTATTACTAATGGCATCTACAGCACAGTATTCATGTAACATCTTTAGGGTAACAAAATACAAAACAATTTAATTAATGTAATAATGAAAACTAGCTATTTTATTCAGTAACCCTGCTTGAACAGGAAACAAAAAGGGAAACATTTTAGCAAGATAACTACAGTATAGATTCTGATGCTGTAAATGATTTCATACCAGTTTTAAGACGGGAAATGCAAAACATTGAACAATACCCTGCTACTGTAAGATTTACAAGAAAGAGGTTCAGTTACATAAATTCTTATTGGAGGTATTACTCCATTCCTATTTATCAAACACAAGTTTTACTAGCATAGTGTTCACCTCTTCCTTTAAAGCCAATTGTGGCTATATAATTCACCCAAAGTAATTATACTCACAAATCATTGCTTAGTTTAGACAAACTGTACACCTAGGATCTCAGTCTGTGACAGTGGAATCTTAGGAAAGGGATTTGAAAATTGGGTTAAATTTTAGGATTAAAGGATTGAGGATGGTGTGGAAGAAGTGGAAGAAACTGCATGGATAAAGAAATGAAGGACTACCAGAGTACTTCCTTCCGAGTAAGAATGTGTGGCTTCCTTTTGATATTGGTTAAATAACACCAACAACAAGTGTCACAATCTCATTCAGTGTACTATTTATTCAATAAAATTTATATACTGCTTGATTGCAAAGCAACAGAGGCAACCTCAAAGCAGTTTTAGAACAATGATACTTGGTCACTTTACACAGTGCTGGAACAAGATGTGTCAGCAGTGCATGGCAAGAACAAGTTCTTTTTATAGAGTGAGGAAGGGCAGCACAAAGTCAAAGAGCTAGAACTTTTCAGCAGCATAAGATATGCTAACAAGTTGCATAAAGTCAATTCAGCCATCCAGCAATTCAATAAACTTTGTCACAGATTGACCCATGGTCATTCTGTCCTCCTTATTCAACTAAATAGCTTCCATATATGATACTTCTGCAACTTTCAGAGTTGTATGCATTAATTAGGGTAGAAGATCACTAATAATGACTTCCTGATTTGAAGATGTTTCTGTTGTTTCTAGTTACGGTACACTTATGGTATTCAACTGTGTCAGGGTCGATAGAAGGTTTTTTTAAAATTTTAAGTGGAACTTAAAATGTAAGTCACATTGTATTAAATTCAGATCGACTTTAAAGAACTTACATTTACAGTTGATGACCATTTCACGTGGGGTACCCATTCCCACCCCCTGCCCCCCCAGTGGGGCGTATATAAGTGCAGCACACCCTGCCCTTTTTGCGAAGTGTTCAGTGACGTTTTCAGGTCACTTCTGGGTTCGGTGCCGATCATGCATCTTTTGGACACACATCAATCAGTTCTTTAAATTGAATCAATGATTAACCAAGCAGAAAAATTTGAGCTAATGTCCCCAATTTTTAAATGCTGCACAAATATCAGTACTTTAAAAAAAACAAAACAAAACAAAACCCTCCCCTGCTTTTCTATGAAAAAGAAAGCACTTAAAATCCCTTGCCATTACAGAACTAGGTTTATGATTCTTTGGATCCTGCTATAAGTACATGACCTATTTGGTGCCCTTAAACATATAGATAAAGCTAAATAAATAATTATTTTGCTCCGCTGCTCCTTGCTTCCAATAGATATGGTAAGTGCGTAACACACACGAGCTATTTGATAAAAGGTTTTTTTTTTTAAGTAATCACTTTTATTAGTTGCAAGACAATCTTTTTTGTTCTTGCACCCCACTTAGCAAGCATACGTATTCTGAGAATCATGACTTACAAAACTGAAGCCTTTGTTTTTAAAGAGGGTGTGTGTACTTACAAACAAAATAATAACTAAAATTCATGATTTAAACCCATATTTCCATAATCTGGTAATAACTGAGCTGCGCTTTTCCTGGCTAAGCTATTTAGAATGATGAAATTCATCTAAGCCAGGAACAGCTAACTTATTTTGTGTGCTCTTGAACAACAGGAGTTTTCCCGCCTTACAACTTGGCTTCAACTGTCCAGCACAAGCTGAAAAACACTTGGGCACCCATCTCTCTCTTTGTCTTCACAAAGGCCTCTAGGACAATTTCTAATTTCCTGATATGTTGATATGGGTGATCTTATGAAGAGCCCCCCTCCACCTACCACAGCTTTTGTGAAGTTGGCTGGAGAAACATCCCAACCCAGAGCAAAGTAGCCCCAACTAGCTTCACAAAGGTGGGAAGGATCTTCATGTGGATATTTAGGCAGGAAGATACTTTTCTTCCGTATCATGGCTGAAAAACCTCAATCTAGTCCCCCCCCCCAAAAAAGTCTGAAGATTGAAATGTATATAATAGTTATACTGACCTTTTAAAACTATATTCTTACAGCTTCTACAAGCCATCAATGCGAGTTATCTGGGAATATTTGAATAAACAACCAACCACTAAACAAGCCAAACTTTGTTTAGTGATTGGTTAAGTAAAATAACAGCCACTGGTTAAGCAAGAGGTTGGTGCTATGATACATTATTTAGAATATTTATTCTAAAGATGGTGTTGAAGTATCAAGAATGTGCCAATGAGCCAACAAAGGAGTGGCAGCCTACCTTTTAAAAACAAAGTGTACAAGTTCAGTGAGTTGTCATCTCTTGTATGGTCAATTCACAGATAAGATAATCAAAAAGGCTAGTGTACCTCCACACTTTAAATGGTAAAGGTAACTACTGTGAACTGCAGATTCCTGCAGCAAATATAAAGAACACACAGTACATGTTCCTGAGACCCTTCAAATAGGCAGATGTTTCCCAATGGATGTACACAGGTGTTCGAGGACACATTATTTCAATGTTTGCTGCAAGAAACACTAGTGTATGTACAACAATTATGCTTGGCATGTAAATGTACTCTTACAGAAAGAGAATCTGGTGCTTCAGTTTTACTTCGCTCACTTAGCTTTTATTACCCAAGTCATTTTGCAGTGCTCTAGTCCTCATTGATGTCCAGCAGGACATGTCTCTTATATGGATAACAAATTATGGTGAAAGAATAATGCTCTCCCGCTATCGTATCTCCCATTATATCTGTTTTATAACAAATTCTGTGTCCATGCAGAAATATATTTGTTAGGATTTCTTTCAAAGCTCTGCATCTGAACAAAGAAGTCACAAGTCCCTCTTACTGAAATGTGTTAACTTAAAGAGTTATAAATTTCATGGAGGCTGGCTGCAGGAACAAATGCAACCCTCTACTATCAGCTCAGAGTGAAACTTTTCAGAAAACTCTATGCCTAAATTCCTTCCTTCCACAGATCTGCTTTTGAGCGAAGATGAGGACTCAGCTTTTCTTCACCCTGGAAATTGGGGGGGGGGGGGAGAGGAGGAATTTGCAGCTCCTTGTAGGATTATTATATGATAACCACCTCAACCACTAATCCAGTGTAATGTATTAGCTGGAAGCATTCCTGAGAGGCCTGAATGTTTTAAAAATGTGATAGTTGGTCACGTAACCAGAAGCAGATATGTGTCAACGGCAGAGGCCTTGGTATATTTGCCCAATATACACCAACAACAGGCTGTTATGAGAGCAGGAAAAAATACTTCAGCCCAAAGTTGGAAGTACAGTTTGTATGAGAGAGAAGTCCCTAGTTTTGACTATCTAAGAACTAACTGAAAACTGTCACAGAACTGACAGAAAAGTTTACAGCAGCACCTAAAAAAAGCTCCAAATTCAAGATCACATTGTACATTGCTTACAGTGCTTCATGAACCATCTTGTAATCAACCGAATCAGGATGGAAAATGCCAGGCCAACAGATTTCTTCTGACATAGATTTTACATACAGAACTCTATTAAAACTTTGACCACAGATGCAGAAGGTGGCTGACTCCTCAGACTGAATTATTTCTGAATGTTAAAAGAAGGTGGTCATCTCATGATAGCAACACCTAAAACAACACAGGACATCTCAGCTGATCATAGCTATGATGGGAAAGTGCATTATGTGACAACTTCCTTCTCCATATCTCTGGGTACTGGGCCCCTCTAAGCTCAGAGGAAGAAGTCAAATGTAGGGTTCCCAGACTTATAGTGGTTTGTGAGCATGAAACTGGGGAACAGTTCAAATCTGTACTTAGGCATTAAACTTATTAGGCAAAAAGCATAACAGCTGAAAAGGAAAAATAATAATCAATGACTACTTATTCACTTCCAAGCCCCATTTAAAAGGCTGATGCTCATTTTTAAAACCCTAAAAAAGTTTGGAACCCAAGCACTTCATGCCTGCTCCCATACCAGCCTGCCTGTCTTCATGATAAGGTACCAGTAATTTGCCAATGACCTTCTCCAAATGCCACCTCCAACAAAGGGTAGTTACAAAAGAGGCCTTTTTGTCAGCTGGCACCCCAGCTACAGAATGGACCAGAGGATGGATGTGCTGGGAAAAAAAACCTGTATCACCATGTTCATTACCCTTGCCTAACCATGCTACAAATCACATTTCAGGAGGCGGTTTGGGGATGGGGTGACTAAACAAGTCTACAACCCTGTGCACGCCCACCTGGAAACAGGTCATACAGCGAGAACACAGTGGGACTAACTGAAGAAGTGTGCATGCACACGAAAGCTCATACCAATAACAAACTTAGTTGGTCTCTAAGGTGCTACTGGAAGGGATTTTTTTTTATTTTGTTTCGACAGTGGGACTAAAGCAGGCATGCACAGGAGTGTGCTGAAAAAAAGAAAACCTTTAGTAGCCCAAAGTACCTTTCTTCTTTTCTTTCTCCCCCTTTTCTTTTTAAGAAAATCCTTTTTTCAAAGGGTAGCTTTCAAAACAAAACAAAAAAGGCTTGAAGCACCAAAAAAAACCCCCAAACCCGTCGTTGTTTCCTACCCCCGCCCCCAACCCCTCATGCAGACGTAATAGCCCTTGGCTTCATTGTCCGGGGTTTGAAGAGGGCTGTAAGCCCAGAGGCAAGGCAGCCAGACACCCCCATATCCTCTCCACGCCCTCTAACCAGCGCGCCCGGCTAACACAGGAAACGAGGCAAGTCGGGAGAAGCCGGCAGCCGCCCGAGCCTCCCTCTCTCCCCCCCCCCCCTCTCTCTCAGCCTCCCAGAGAGAACTCAGGGGAGTCCCGGCTTGGCGCGCGCTCCAGCTCCCACGTGGGCTTGAGGGGGGGAGGGGGCGCTCGCGCTCTTCCCGTCACCCCCTTCTCTCTCTCTCTCTCCCCACCCCCCGCGCGACCACGGTCGGTCTCCCCATTCCGAACAGCGTCGCGCCAAGGACACTTCGCTCCCCGCTCCGAAGGCCAGGAAAGGCGGCGGCGGGCGGCCCTCCTCACTTCGCCTCGCCGCCCCCAACTCCCCTCAGAAGCCAAGGCCGCGCCGCCTCAGGCCCGCCGGAGCCCCCGCCATCGACACTCGGCCCCTCTCTCAGGCCGTTACCTGCCAGCGCCTCGACGTTCTTCCCCCGCCTCACGGGCTCTGAGCTGCGCTTGACAGCGCCAGTCGCTGGCCCCACCCCTGCCGTCCGCCGCGCGCGTCACCCGGGCTGCGTCACCGCGCCACGCCGGTACGGCCTCGGAGAGACGAAACGTGCAGAGCTGCACCTAAGCGCTGAGTTTCTGAGCCCGTCACTCCTGTAACTCTCCAGGTTCAGATCACCACCCTCGGACCACGTGCCAGGGGATGGGGCTGATTTTGGGGGGGGGGGGTAGGAACAGTATCTTGAACGCCCTAAATTCCCTGCCCCTGGCCTGGTTTCGGATGTTATGCACGGCATTGTATTTCTGTAAGCTGTCCTATGACTTGCGCAAAGGGTGGGATCTGATTAATTAATCAATTAAAATCAGTATTTTACTAATAATTATTTAAATTAATTAACCACTATTATTATTAGTAGTAGTAGTAGTACTGAATCCAGTGGGGCTCCCAGAAAGTGTAGTTAATTACTTAATTAGTTACTTAATTAGTGCTGCAATCCAAAACTACACTTTCTGGGAATCTGGATTCAGTATTATTACGATTATTTAAATCTTTATTCGTTCCTCTCCTCTCAGAAGTGACCACGTAAAGCCGCTTTATAGAAGCACTAAAACCAAGTATCACAAGAACCTAAAAGCGCCCGTAATAATACATTTCTCAACGGGTTCCTATGGGCAGCTCTTTAATTCTGCCCAGGAGAAATATTAAAGCATGGATTCCAATGACAGCCCGGAAATGCCATGGATAAGTCTACCCTTTTTTCATCTCCGTGGAGCCAACCCGCTCCCTCCGATTGATCACATGAGGGGAAAATAAAAGCCCCTCCTTCCTTTCTCTGCTCCCCGCCATATCCGCAGTTGTAGAGGTAGAAACAACTTTGAGGGATTCCTGAACCCTCATTTACGGTATTGCAGCGCGCTCAGGTGTAACTCCTGCTGTGTTAATTGGAGCTTACTTTCTGCAAACGAACTCCGGTGATCTCTCTTGGAATCAGCCCCTACTGCAGGACCTGCATCGTGTCGAGAAGGATAAGGATGAGACTTGGCTGCTGCAAAACGCAGCGGTTATATTATTATTATTATTATTTTAAATGCACTGTATTTTTATTAAAGATTTTCTTGATTTACAGAAGTACGTGCAATGTCTCTCTCGTATTTTTTCCATGTAACATTTTTACAAATCAGTTTCATTTGTTAAGACATTAGGAAGAAAAGGGGGAAAGGGGTGGAGGGGGGAAAAAGATGGGTGGGGGTGGGGTCTGGTGGCGATGTTTCTATTTTACTTAATATATGCGGGGTTTGGTGTCAGTGTTAGCGGTTATATTGTTGATGCGAAACAGAGTATTGCCAACACATGACTGATGCTCAAAAGTTTGCAATGGCTGCCCATATGCTACCCGGGCAGGTTCAAGGTCCTAATTTATAATGCCAAATTCCTGCAACCACCAAAGGCTTTCCAGTATCGCCTTAAAGACCCACAGCGTGCACACATAAAGATTGCTTTCAGGAAAATGCGCATATATTGTTTTAGCACACTACATTTGCACGCCGCTTTTCCTCCAGAGAGTTCAAGGGTAGCATCGCACAGCGTCTCATGTCTTCACGACAACCTTGCGAGGTAGGCTGGGCTGAGAGGTAGCGACCGCTCAAAAGGCACCCAGTTCCGTGGCACCCAGGCCGGGTTTTTTCGAATCGGGACCACCAGGCTATAGGGCTGCAGCCTTGCAGTTCAATGCCATCCATGCACGTCTCCTAAGGAGTAAGTAAGCCTAAGGAATAGCTGTGACCTGGCCGCCGCTCTGCTAGCCAAGACTGCAAAAAGAGCCCCGACGTCTGGGCTGTGCACAAAAGAACCGTCGGCCTAGGTCGCGCCTCGGCCCGCCCATTCCGTAAGAGTGACGCGCCTGTCCGGGCTGCTCACCTTGTCCTGCCCGCCGCGTCCTCACGTGACTTTATCCCGCGAGCGTGGGCTCCAGTTGCAGCCGCTTGTTGGCACGCGGCGGAGCTGCAAAGGGGTGCGGCCGCTGCTGCAACAACAACAACTGGTTTCGTGGGCAAACAGAACTCCCCGCCTTGCACAGCAACCTGCCTGGCCTTGTTTGCTCCGAGTCCCGGGCAAGGCGGCCTCGCCCCATCGTCCCAAAGCGGCTTTCGATCCCCCCCCCCCCCTTTCTGGCGACCATAATGATCAGACACGATATAGCAGTGAACTGTAAGGGATACGCAGAGATCTAAATAAAGACTCTTATTTTTACGGCGCAGCAGCATCCCATTTCGTGGATTTGCTTTTGATTCAGATTTGTCATGGCCAATGGCTAGTACAATAAAGTTATTTGGATTGGAATGGCTAGCTGGCTTATTTTGGCAAGAGCCACAATCATTTCCAACAAAACTAATGCACAGGCCACAGTAAGCGGGTTTCTCTTAAGTTGCCACAGAATTTGTCCCCCCCCCCCTTCTTTCTCCAGACCTACGTGGCTGCTGTTCTGGGTTTGATTTCTTCTTGATGAGCCAGTTATTTTCATGAGGATTCTGTACTAGTTATGATTTTCGTTATTTTTATATAAGGCTACAACCTGTGTCAACGTGGCTAGATCTGCAGAGTATGTCCCCCTGCCCTCCAAGATTTCAAGCATTGCTTAAATGAGTTCAAGAAGGACACTGACAAACTGAAACGTGTCCAGAGGAGGGCAACCAAAATGGTCAAAGGCCTGGAAACGATGCCTTATGAGGAACGGCTAAGGGAGCTGGGCATGTTTAGCCTGGAGAAGAGGAGGTTAAGGGGTGATATGATAGCCATGTTCAAATATATAAAAGGATGTCACATAGAGGAGGGAGAAAGGTGGTTTTCTGCTGCTTCAGAGAAGCGGACACGGAGCAGTGGATCCAAACTACAAGAAAGAAGATTCCACCTAAACATTAGGAAGAACTTCCTGACAGAGCTGTTCGACAGTGGAATTTGCTGCCAAGGAGTGTGGTGGAGTCTCCTTCTTTGGAGGTCTTTAAGCAGAGGCTTGACAACCATATGTCAGGAGTGCCCTGATGGTGTTTTCTGCTTGGCAGGGGGTTGGACTCGATGGCCCTTGTGGTCTCTTCCAACTCTATGATTCTATGAGAACGTTTTTGAATTTGTTGTATTCTGAATGCCCATCACTGCTGCACTCTCATAGATGCTGTGTGTAGCAGCATCTTAGAGCTTCAGCTGTATTTTGGAATTTTGGGGTCCCCTGCTGTAACAAAAATAAGATTTAAGCTGGTTAACACCTTTGTTCAATGGACAAATTTATAGAAATGTGATGTAACAGCTTTTAGGGAGAGCACCAAGTGTAAAGTAAGGGCGCCATCTGCTGGTTTGAGTTTTGCTCATCCATATTTTGTTCATAATAACGTAGCATTAAATTCTCTTGTGTGCAGTGCATGGCTCATAACTGTATATGGTGTGTGCATATGTAAGTTTCTATAGTCCTCCATTCCTTTCCATGAGGGTTGCTGAAGGTTGAGGGCTTGTGCAAGTTAGGCTAGGAATGGAAGAGAGTGTCTTGTAATACTTCTCTTGGAGATGCCACAGGTCCCCTAGCACAGATGTGCAATTACATCCCCACAGTAAAACTTTCAAGTTCCACTTGCTGTTGCAAGAATTGTTGTTTACCCATGTTTTAGGTTTACCAAATGGTTTAGGTTTTAGCTGTTTGACTGTTAATAAACATCAGTTCTCCCAAAGTGGAAGCATTTTGCTGCTAGCATTATTTTATCAGGTCTGGGAAATGTGGTGCCAGTTTCACAACCACAGCATGCGCAACTGCACAGCACTGAAGCTATTATCAAAGTGCTAAATGATCGGTCTGATTGTTCTATCCAGAATATGACATTACTTTGACATAGCACTCTTGAAACACCCTAAAAGAATAGGGCAGAAACTTGCTCTCTGCTTCCCTAGAGGGCAAGACTAGATTTAAGTCACAGAAAGGTAGATTTTGGTTGAATCCTGATTAAAGCTACAACCTGAGTCAACATGGCTAGATTTGCAGAGTATGTCTCCAGTCCTACGTGTTGATATTAATATTTCCCCCTGTTACATAAGGAGCTGATGTCTCCCCCACTCAAAAATCTACAAGTATTCCAAGGGGAACTTATTTTAAATGAAAAATGCAAAGGAAAGATAGGGTGAAAATGAGGCAAAGGGAGGCTGCTAATAGACGATTTACTACAAAGATGGAAAAGAAAGTCTTCAGCTTTCCTGGTGTTGTTTTTTAACCTTTTTATTAAATTCCAAGAATAAACTCCGAGAAAATGAGCTTAAAAGGCTGGAACTTCAGCTCATTCCTGTTGATCTGACAACCCCTCCGTCCAGACACAAATGCTCCGCCTCGCTGCATCTGTAACGCCCTCGAGCTGGGCGGCTCTGGCGGAACCTTTGTCCTGCGCTCCCTTGTTTCTTTCCGGAGGCCGCTTAGCGTTGGAGCGCGTCCGGGCCCGATTGCCCCGTTGCCATGGGGATTGCCCGGAAGGAGCGTGCGCCCTCTTGAAAAAGCTCCCCCGGCTTTTTCCGGTGTTGTGAAAGCGGCGGCGAGAAGGTAAGTCAGCCCGCGTAAAGGGGGAAAAAGGCTCCTGGGTGGCTGTCTAGGAGCCAGGCCGGGTTTTTTGTGGGGGGATATGGGATTTTTTTTGGAGGGCATGCAACCCGCGAGTGGCGTGGGCAGAAACCCCCTTCCAACTACCGCTGATTCTGTGAGCACCGCCAGCAGTCCTCCTCAAATATAGAATAAATATTCATAAATGCACACATATCTATATATATAAACCATGTGTCTGAAATAGTAGGGAGAGCAATCCTGAAGCCATTTTGACTCTCAATGACCTCAAATACTCATCTGCAGTGAGGGAGGCAAATAGGGAAAGCCTCCCCATTGCCTTTACGCTTGCAAATCCTGTCTTAAGGGTGTATTTGTGTATGAATAGGGTGAGCCTGTGACCTGGCTTCAAGAACTAAAGTATTAACCATCACGAAAGAATGGCCAGGCTTCCCAGGTAATGCAATCGGCGACCATTATCAGGTATCCTGGTAGGCAGGGTTTCTGCTGTAGACTGCCTCCTATGATATATGTATGACGATTTTGGGGTGGTCTTTGGCTAAGGGGGTTGGGCAATGTCAAGGTTCCTGCACACTTTTGTTGAGGGTCTCTCCCTCCTTGGAAGGAGGGGAGGGGACTCTGTTGCAACAGAAAAATAAATATCTGCCTTGCTTTCCACCGGATTCTGTCTCCATCCATTCTTCTCTGGCCAATCATGGACTTAGGGGACTCAGAGTCCCATGGGGAGTTGGGAAGCAAAAGCCAAACCCCAATTTTTACATCACCATTATCGAAATCACACAAGTCAGTTTCCCCTAACCAGCCAGCAGTTCACATCTCTTCCCCGCACTCCAGGTTGTCCTGGCATTATTCACTTGCCTTTAGGAGCCTCTGGAGAAACAAAGGAGGAGCTTTCCACAACAACTTTGTCTCCGTGCCCTTCTTTAAAATTAAGAAGCACTTGTTTAGCAAATGGCTGTGGGGCAAGTCTTGCCAGGCCACCAGAAAAGTGTTCGTGATGCTAGGTATATTCTTATCACCAAACTCTAATAGAAATGCTGGTGGTGCTTCAAATGTGAGAGGAAAAACCGCAAGCCCCACATCCAGGCTCCCTCCAGTTTTGGACAAACTGTGTCACCCCACCCCCACCAACAGTCTTTAAATACAGTAGTTTCCAATGACAAGACAGGATCAGGCCCTGTGTAATTTGAGCTGAGTACGTTGAGAGCGTTTCCTTCCCCTCCTAATCAAAGCTGCATTCTGCATATCAGAAGTGAAGACAGAGCCCCCACAAATCTCTGGTAGTCTTTGTAGCTCTTTTCAGAAATGTAACGCTGTACTGTAGAATCCTCAGACTGATTTTATGATGATACTTTTCAAATGTGAGAGTATGGTAGGCCTTCAAGCTAGGAGACACCTTGATTTTGAGGGAAATAAAAAGACTTTGTTTTTCTGTCTTCTCCATACTTTGTGTCCTATTATGTCTTCTAACATCCCGGCAGTGACTGTGGTTTTCGAATAGAATTTGATATACTTTAATACTTAGTAAATGATAAAAAAATCAGCAATTCTGTGGGTAATTCCAACTGGTTAGGTTGATACTATTCTTTGAACCGCCCTGAAAGCCCTAGGTATAGGATGGTATATAAACTCAATTAATAGTAGTAGTAGTAGTAAAGGTAAAGGGACCCCTGACCATTAGGTCCAGTCGTGACCGACTCGGGTTGCGGTGCTCATCTCGCTTTATTGGCTGAGGGAGCCGGCGTACAGCTTCCGGGTCATGTGGCCAGCATGACTAAGCCGCTTCTGGCAAACCAGAGCAGCGCATGGAAACGCCGTTTACCTTCCCGCCGGAGCAGTACCTATTTATCTACTTGCACTTTGACATGCTTTCGAACTGCTAGGTTGGCAGGAGCAGGGACCAAGCAACAGGAGCTCACCCCGTCGCGGGGATTCGAACCGCCGACCTTCTGATCGGCAAGCCCTAGGCTCCGTGGTTTAACCCACAGCGCCACCCACGTCCCTTAGTAGTAGTAATACAACCAACTAATTTCAAAGAGTTGTGAGAGAAAAAATTGAGCTCTTCAAAGGACAGGTAGGATATACGGTAAATGTAATACATGGAAGCAATTAAATAATACCAAAATATCAGTGACCAACTGTGGACCTGATTTATGCTTTCAGGCTGCTAAGATGTCGAGCCAAAAGAAGTGTCCAGACTGTGGCTCCTTGGAAATTGTAGAGGACTCTCATTATGCTCAGAACCAGCTGGTGTGCGCAGACTGTGGCTTCATTCTGACTGAAGGGCTTCTCACAACCACATATGCTGATGAAGAACATTTACAAGGTGAGGCTAAGAATAGCAAAATAGCTCAAAACTCTTTGTATCTTACAAAGACATAGGATTTGAGATACGACTTGCAAGCAGTTCTCAAATATAGACAGGCCCTACACCATTCAACAGTTTAAAAATGGGTGCATGTTTGAGAGCTTGGACCAAAGTTTGGCTGATATCTGTGTTTTTATCTCATAGAAGTCACATATTCACGGAGTACTGGTCAGAATGAGCAAACGAGCCGTTGTGTACAGCGAGGTACGTATTCTGCATTACTCTTTTGATGCTTTGTGGAAATTAATGTGCCTGTCATCCACAAGAGCTGCATTGTTCCACTTTCTAAAAGCAAAGAGAAATTTGCATTTTTAAAACAGTCTTACCTATTTGCTGTGGGACCAACATCAAAACAACCTATTTTAGAGTTTTAGAAGTGCATAGAGTCCACAGTTCAGTTGGATTGCCTGATCAAATCCCAGCTGAATCATTGACAGACTGGTTAACCATGGACCAGTCTGTTTCCGTTACCATTAAATGGTTATTATAATTGTGTGTGCAGCTGCAAAAAATAAAAATCAATACATAACTAAAAGCCAAATTAAAATCAAATATGAAGTTGAAACAGCAATACTAACAGCCATTCTCAATTAGAGCCCCCAAAGACTTTCATTTTTAAAAGTTCTCCATAATATATATTAAAAAAAAAGCCAAAGTAGGCTTGGTTTGGCCACTCCAGTTACACTACCACAATTGAAAATATGTTATCCATGATTGCCACCCATCTAACCTCTGAAAGTTGGAGCACGTGAAACAGAGCCTCCACAGATTATCTTAGTATATGGGCAACTTCATACAGGCAGAGACCTACCCTGTGGTTAGATTTGTCACTGATAAATGTGTATGTGGAAACATTTCTTAAGTACTGCTGTGGTATTTTCCCCCACAGGAGTCAAACGTGTTCGGGATCTCTGCAAAGTTCTGCGGCTTCCTTCTCTGTTTGAAGATACAGCCGTGTCCTATTACCAGCAGGCAATCAAACGTCCCTGCTTCAGTTTAGTCAGCTTGGAGAAGAAGGAGATGCTTGTGGGCTGTTGCGTCTTTGTGACCTGCCGCCAGCACAACTGGCCCCTGACCATGGGCACAGTCTGCCTGCTACTCTATGGAGACAAGGAGTTGTTTGCAAAGACCTATCTACGCTTCCTGAAGGAACTGGCACTGGATGTGCCTACTCTCAGCTTGATGGATATGGTGAAAACCCACCTCAACAGGTATGTTGCAGTTCTTGTGCCCTTTCCTTGACAATACTTCTCAAAGTTGGTGTGCAGTTTCCATCATTCAGAGACAGAATTTACAAGTATCATACGGACTGTGTGGTATATTGACTGGAAGGCTGATGAAACAGCAAGCTTCTTAAATGTTCAGCAGGGATGGGTGTGGTCAGTGCTTGGATGTCAGACTTCCTAGGAACCCTGTGTGTGCTGTGTGCTTCCATCATGGAAGAAATGGGTATTTTCATATGTGCATGTATACTCCAACTCCCTGATTTCTGAGATTTCATCTGAGGCACTTCAGGCAGTTCCAGGCTTTTCTCTTTAGCCACAGGGGCAGCAAACTTCCTTTTCTTAACAAATAATTCTCAGAATTGTGAATTCTGCTCCTGCTACCAATCCTGTAATTGCTTGGAAATCCTTCCTATTATTATTAAGGGCAAGACGCCAACAAACAGAATTTTGTTGAGCACAAGTTGGAATAGTGTAAATTCAGCCCTGTCCATATAGTGCTGGTTAATGGAAGATGCTTGCCTTTTTGATTCAAGCTGCTCAGCTTGCCTTTTTGGTGTCCTTGGAAAATGCAAGGCCTTCTGCCCTTTGCCCTTTCACAGAATGCTTTATTTTGTTCATGTGCCTCTTTTCACCTACTGTATTTGTCTTCTCCATCCTGCCACATCTCCCAACCCAAGGCAGTCTATCTAAATAGGCTCTTTGATTTTCATCTTTCCAGCTTCAAGATTTTCCAGAATTCACCCAGCGTCCCGACTAAGTTTGTGGAAGAAAAGGAGCAGCTGGTGGCAAGGACTATCCAGATGGTGGAACTTGCCAGCGACACGTGGCTGGTGACCGGCCGGCACCCCATCCCCATAGTGACAGCAGCAGCCTTCCTGGCTTGGCAGTCTTTCCGGCCTGTCGATCGCCTCACTTGCACCCTTTCTCAGTTCTGTAAGCTTGCTGGTATGGATGCTCCCCGGCCAGCCCACCAGAGACTGAAGGAGCTGCATAACATCCTCCTGCAAATGGCTTCTCAGCTGGGCTGGTTGCGAGTGCTGAAAGTGGACCGTCGGAGCGTGGCAAAGTACATCGGTGACCTTCTGCGGCACCGCCGTGTGCTTCTACAGGCTGCCTTCCGCATCGTGGATACTACGGAAGACCGTGACCTAGAAAACTCAGCAGCTGCGCCACTGCAGCTAATCGATGAGAGCGCTGCAACAGTAGAAGAGGCCTCCCTTTCAGGAGAGAAGCAGAAGTTCAGCAAGCGGAAACCTTTGCTCCCACCCTGCGTCTTGAACCCCGCAAAGAGGCTACGAACTCCTGAGCTAAGCCTTGAAGATTCTGCTATCACTGGGGATGAGCCCATTTTAGACAGTGAGATAGAGCAGTACATCCGGACTCCAGAAGAAAAGGAGATGTTTAGCAAGGCTCAAGCGTGCCTGTGATCTCAAAGCTGCAAGTGATTCAGACAGGCTTGCAAGCAATAGCCTTCTGATACATATTTTGCTCTAGGAGGCTTAGTTTGGTAAGAATAGAGTATACACTTCCAGAGTTAATGCTAAATACATTACTTCTGGTAAATGAGCCATCATAACCACTAGAGGATTGCGAAAATTTGTGTCCTGGGCTTTTTAGACTTGTCTACTGTCTGAAGCAAAGGGATTCATTGGTTGCCAGATGTGATTTCCCCTCCCCCCAGCTCTCCTGTCCCACTAAAAATCTCCCGCATCCTTCAGGCATGGCTCCTTCCACCCTACTGTGGTAATAATTAAAGACAGGTTTGGGTGGCCTGGATAACTTTGGTTACAGGTAGGGACTACTAGTAACCAGTTGGCAAGGTTGTGTGATTATTTTCCTTCAACTCTGACAAGAGGTATAGGAAGTGGCCACATTGCAGTGGTTTGCATGCTGTTTAGGACAACTTTTGGTGTAAAGATTGGCAGGCTTCCTGCGTATCTCTGGGTGAGAAGTAGTATCCACTCTTGAAGGTTTGGGTGGAGGCAGTCAGCCAGCTAGAGCAACAAATACCTCTTTGAGTTGGCGTTTGACTTGAATGAGTGTTTGTCTGGTCTTCTTATGGTCCTCATAGTTAGGCATGGGAGAGTGGAAGAGTAAAAATCTAATTGCAAGTTGTTTCAGACATGCATGCTTTAAACCTAGATCCAGAAGAAAAAGTTGTGGCTTTGCAAGCATCTCTTTATAGAACATGGTATGGTGGTTCCTGAACATCATACCCGAGTCACAAGAGAGGTGGTGAGTCAGTCGCTCTTATTAATGGAGCTGCTTAATTAATTTTTGTCCTTACATGCATGTTGAGAGACAAGCTTGTATGTCACATTAATGACATATGTGATTTGTTCAGTTGCTCAAATTGTTGCCACACAATTCTGTTTATTGCTCTGTAACTGTGGCCAAACTCTTGTTACTGCCAGATTTGATTTTTAAAAAATGACTTTATGACCAACCAGATACTGAACTGTGTGAGGTATCAAGAGAGCCAGAGGAGTAAGAAAGCAATAGATAACTTTTTGGATGTTGCAATTCTTTAATATATTAAACAAGAAACATCTGCTAGAAACACTTCATTTTTATAAAATGCAAAAGCCCTATTAAATGCTTTCTTTGGCACAGTTGTCTCTCAAAAAAGCTCTCTGTTCTTTGGCACAGTTGTCACTCAAAAAGCTTTCTTTTGTGATATGTCATTTGCTCATAATGTAAACAGACAAAATAAGGTAATAATACAAAGCTTTTCTGATAATACTGTTTTCAGTGTAGCAAGCATATATAACAAGTTCAGCATCGGCAATATCATGTGGGTTGTAGTACTGACATATAAATGATTTAGGCCTTTATTTAAATATAAAAAATATAAAACCAAGAAGGAATTTTCAGAGGTAAGGGAAAGGAGAATAGATCTGCTCTCAAGCTAAATAGGAGGAAGCAATTGTGAAACCACTGTAGTTGCTAAAGAGGTGATGGAGAAGGAGGAGGAGGAGGAGGAACAGTTCTTGGAAGATTCAGGGATTGGGAGGTAATAAGTGCTTCATGGCCCTTTAAGGGCTCCAACTTTCCATGCCAGCTCTTAGAGCCACTGTGGATCCTACTGATTGCCTATGGCTCTGCCTGTTTGACTGGTGGAACCAATAGCATGAGGACCAAAACAATCCTTGCAGCTCCTTTCGAGGTAGGTGATGTTTTACTGACAAGGAGACTGCGTATGCCTGCCTGTCTATAGGAGTACATTGATCTTCTGCCATGTTCAGAATAAAGACTTTATTTTTAGTAAGCACTGCACAGTTGATTTCAAAGGAGCAGTAAGAATTTTCAACACGTGTGCGTAAAAATTATACATTTATTTATAGTACCCAGTTTGTGTCTTCCCTCAAGGCTATGGTTCTGTTGTGGAGATATCTCCTGGCATCCACCCCCTGCTTGCATTCATTGCTGTTACTTACTGTAGTGAATGTGCTTCCTCTTCTAGCAGCTGTTTGTTATTGCCTGTGATATAAATTGCAAAAAGTGAGAAGAGGGGCCTGTGCAGGGAGCCTGGCCTGTTCAGATTTCTTGCACCCCCCCCACCCTTGAAAATGGACGATTATATTCTTCAGCTGCTTCTGACACAGGTGCCCTTTGTGGGAAGTGCTTTTCTATGCATTTACCCCACAGATGTTTCAGTGCAGTGTTTCTAGAAAAAGAGGTGCCGGAACTCACAATGAACGCCTCCCTTGTTCTCTTAGAATGGCAATGGAGCCCACCAGAGAGGTGCCGCAACTGAGTTCCAGCTGAAAAAAAAGCCCCAGATGTTAAGCTGGCCTCGTGAGACACACCCACATGGGTAGGGCTGCTTGCATGAGAAAGGCCTTTAAAGGTTATGCTAGAATCGTGGGGTGAGCTCACTGTAAAATCCCTCCCACCGTGTTCCTGTAAATTCTTAAGGATACTTAACTGTGGCTCTCGGCTGACTTCCCTCCTTGCAGGATGCCTACGTCTTTAGGAGCTGGATGCTCCTCCCCTTTCCCAAATATGGAAAACCCATCTAACGAACTCAACGGAAGGAAAAACAACATGTTTAGTCCTCCTACATCTGTGGCTCTCATAAGATCTCACTGTTCTTGCTCATGAGTCAATGTTTGTTAGTATTGCATAAATGATGCAGAAGGTGGTGGGAGCATGTCCTCGGAGGTCAATGGGGCCAGAGTGTGAGGAGACAGCATTTCTAAGCGCCTGTCTGGATTTTTCACACAGTCATCTATACTACAAATTCCTCTGTCATCTTTTTAGCTTCCCATATGTTTGCCCCTCTCACTCTGCTGCTTTAAGCAACTTCTACACCCCCACCAGCGTTACTGACAGCACTCATCTGGGTATAATAATGGTTTATGGGTGTGAACAGAAAACCCTCACAAGTCTTCTCTCTCTAAACAATGCACAACAATGATCCTAAATAATAAAATAATCTCTCTGCCTGGTCGGAATTTATAGCGGGTTGGCTTGTTTTAATTCTGCAAAAACGTGGGTGTGATTTATATGATCCAAGGGCTTTGCCAATAGCTTTTGATCGCCCGCTGAAATGTTCCTGTCTCTGTTCTGTTGGCCAGTCTGTGAGCCAATTGCACAATGCGTTCCACATTGATTTAAATTAATAACACACCTTCCCACACCCTGAAACACGCACTTTTCTCCAAAAAACTTGGAAATCCAGATGTTTATCAGTGAGTAGAAAGGAGAGAAACAGGAAAGAAGAGAACTTGCTTCCCCCCAAAAAGCAAGCTGTAGTCTTTGCAGACTTGAGTAGATTAAGGACATGTGTCCTGTCTCTGTGAACACTTGGGTTCCTTGTGCAAGAGCAGTTAAAATGATTGGGTGGTGTTGGCCCTCTAACATGGATAGAAAAACTGCCATACAGTGTGTCATAAAAACAAAGAAGCTATGCTCCCTTTTTTCTTTTTTTTTGCAAGGCCAAGTACATGCCATGAAAGTGAGGTAAGCCCACTTCACTTGTAGCTGATATTTTGCTTGATTGCGTTTTGACTATGGCTTTTAAAATAAACACTTACATTAGCTCTGTAATTCGGTGGGCTAAACATGGTCACTAAAAAGCTACATTTGCTCCCTCTTAGAGTGGGGGGAAATGGCTTATTGCACTGCGTCATGCTGAGGACCTTTCTCACTTTGCATCTCAGTGTGACCTTCAGAGGTCATGCGCCTTGCACCAGGTTTTGTAAGGCTATGGATAGGGAGGAGAAGAATGGAGCAAAAGGCTCAGGCCGCTGCCTCCTAAAGAACTACATGTTTGACACGAAGTGGCTTAGACCAGGTGTGAACAGGCATCTGCCTTGCAGAATCTATCCTGACCCCTACTGGATTTTTTCTTGGTCTACCAACTGGAACCAGTCTAGAGTCAAATGATGGCACCAACTGCCTGTTGGTACCCTACAAGCATAAATCTACTTGCAATATATCAGGAACTTCAGCAGCCTAATTCAGAGGCAGGAGGAGTGGTGGTCTTTTTGCTGCTGCTATTATTAAACAATTCTAAGACAAAGCTCATGCCGGGGTATTGCACATCATCTTCTTTCCCTGACCCTAGTCTTCAGTTATTTCAGACCCCAAGACTCACCTTTAACTACAGATCCACTTTGATTTGACCCTCTATGTGCCCTTTTATCTTTAGCGAATCTGCAGTTGACCCAATTCCTCCTCTAAACATTTAATGCATTTGCCCCAACCCCGTTCTTTTTAACAGGAAAAAAAACTTTTTAAAAGGTTGATGTCATTGGTGCAACCCACCTTGGCCAATCACACCTTGACCTCAGTCAAGACTGACAATCTTTCCTCTTCTTCTGAACCTCTCTCATCTTTCCTTGCCTTCTGAAAGCCTAGCTACAGCTTTACAAGCTTGGAAGGGGGGTGTCTGAGGTCAGCCAGACTAGAAAACACATTCTCACGGCCACTTTTTTCCATGTCTAACAAGTGCAATTATCTGTGGGACTGCAAAATACAATGCAAGAAGTCCTCTGCCGGGAGTGGGCAAGGAGTGATCAGCCTGCTGGCAGGGATTGCTGCTTTTGAGAAAGAGCCCAAGGACTTAGTTGGCTACATGGAGCTCATTTTTGACATAGCAGATTCAATAGGAGTTTGGTCATGTGATTGCTCATTAACTTGATAAAACACCCATAAACAGTGGACTGTCCCCGCCCCCCTTGGAACTAAGCAGATGGGAATGTCTCAAAGGTGTTTAAAAGTGCTCCCCCCAAAAAAAAAATTACTTAAAAGGACCAACATGGTTTGAGCCACCTCCTTGGTCAGCCTTGGTCAGCCCCATGAGCACAGTGATGCCTCTGCCTTACTACCATCAATTCTGTTAAAAATGACCACCTGTCTCCAGCTTTGGAGCTGTGTCAAAAATAATCAATTTGGTTTGTTGGCTGCATCAACGATGAGCCACAGCGTAGCCACGAGAACTGGCCCTGAGGTATGTTGGAGGAGGGGGGCGTGGAGAAGGCGAGAGCTCTTTGACACAACACTGATGGCTTTAACATAAAGTGTGTAGGCACTTCAATTGGATAGCAATTTTGCCTATACATATGTACATACAATGCTAGAGATTTCAGCTTATAAACACTGCTTTCCTTGGTATGCCATACCAAAAAATAAAATAAAAAAGCACCTAGGATCTAAGTGACATGCAGAAGGGATATAATATAGATTGCAATGCTCCAGAACAAATGATTGTCTTTCACCGTACGAATTAGGCCACCGCTGCTCCTTCGGTGGGGACAGGAAAAGATCCCCAGGAACAAAGAGCAGCCGAGTCACCTGGTGCACAGGATATCGGTGATGGAGAGCATGGTGTGGTTCCTAGGATGTGATGCACGTACCCTCTCCCTACCCTGCCCCCTTGCAACTCAGATGTCAGGTGACCTTTCCTCTCGACTGCAGGGTAGGGGGTCTGGGAACGTGGTCAACCAGACACTGCCCAAGCCCCACATAGTGCACACCATCAGCCTCTGCAGCTTGCATCAGCAGGCTCTGGCAGCAAGATGCCAGTGCCTTGCTAATTCCTGCCCGAGGCTGGGGAAACCTGCTCCAGCCCCCTGGCCCTTTGACCCTTCCCTACACAGTCGTCTCGCTCTTCCAGAGACCCGTTTTCATGCCGGCTGCGCTGTCAGCCCCGGTGAGGTTTATGTCGTACTCGCTGCCCTTCAGGCCCCCGTTCTGATTGGCCGTGTTGAGGGGGAAGGAGCGCCTCTTAGTCTCTTTTTCCGCTGCGGCATTGGCCTGGTGCTTGAGGTTGTCTCTGCTGGTGCTCCTCCGCTGGCCTTGGCTGAAGTCTGCCCCGTGGTGGTGGCCGCCGCTGCCGTCGCTCAAGTCGGACTGCGTCAGGGCCAACTCCAGGCTTGGGACCACCCCCTGGCGCCGATTGTTCAGAGGGCTGTTCCGACTGCTTTGGTAGCTCTCCGAGTGGCTGGTGGGGAGGCTGCCGCTCTCGCTGGTCAGGTGCTCTGAGGAAGGCCCCCGCAGAGCCTTCAGGCGCTGCTGGTGTTTCCCTTCCCGATACTGCTTAGTCCTGCTTTTGTGGTGTCTGCTGCGGCCGTGCAGGTTGTTGGCGTACCTGGCCGGCGGGGTGCTCTTGCTGTTGCAAGGCTCTGCGTCCTCATAGCAGGCCGTCTGCGAAGGGCTGCCATCCGCCTGGCCGAGGGCCACTTGCAGGTTGTTGAGTTTGCAAGGCCCCGGGGCGGAATTGCTGCTGCTGGGGGAAGAGGAGGACTTGATGGACTGAGCCGCCTCGGGGCTGCAGCCAATGAAGACCTGGGAGCCGTCCTCCACTCCCACTCCTGGGTGCACATAGGCTTGCATGGGCAAAGCATTCCTGTAAGATGGGCAGCAGGCGAACCACGAGCCCTGCACGTCTCGGCGGCGGGCGCAGTGGTGGGCAAAGATGAAGAGCCCCAGCGCCACAGCCGTGACTCCGTAGAGGCAGCTGAAGGCCACCTTCAGGAGGAACCAGCGCTGGGACACCGCCATGGCCCCGAAGGTCCAGAGAGTGATGTACAGGAAATGGGTGATGACAAGAGCCCAGAATTGCACCCCTAAAGAGTAAACGCCGTCGACGTCGGCACTGTGCGGGGTAGAATTCAGCGTGACCAAGATGGACCCCGAGTCTGTCAAGAGGTTGCTGCTGCCACCCAGCCGCTGACGCATTTCCAGGGGTTTGGGCGCCTCTTTGGGGTTCTTGGCTTGGCACTGCAATCGGATTCCGGCACACAGGAAGTAAATCCAAGTGATGAGCAGGACGAAAGCCGCAGGCACGTAGAAGGCCCCAATGCTTGGCTGACAAGCCAGCCAGCAACTGCAGGGAAATGGGGAGAGGGCGAAGGTTCAGCAGAACTATCAAGTGGGTCTGAAGTAACTGGGAGAATGTAGGGTGAGTCCTGGGAGATCAACCCAAAGGTCTGCCACAGCAATGGAAAGCCCATGCCCCTCCATTTGTTGCTAATATGGTTACCAGATTTTTTTTCAATGAATCGGGGCACTTTTTCTTTTCTTTTTTTTTAGCTGAGTCAGTAGTGGGGATGGTGAGTCAAAAGACCCTGGGCCCAAGCACACATGCATATTGTATAAAGGTGCAAAGCCCTTCTTTTGCACCCTGTGAAACATAAATGCGCAGTTTTAAAAAAACTGGGCAACGGCCGCCCACCTGCAACGCCCGAGCCTCCCCCAATCTCCTTTCCCATTCCCCCTTTGTTTTGACTAATTGGGGGAAGGCTCGGGAGTCATGGGCGGGTGGCGGTTGGCCAGTTTTTTTTTAAAAAAAAAACTCTGCACATTTATGTTTCACAGGGTGCAAAAGAAGGGCTTTGCACCTTGCCTGGCAGAGAAACCGTGCACCTTGCGCCTCTCCTGTGGCTAATAATTACTGCATTGCTTGGTTGTTATATACAGTGGTGCCCCACAAGACGAATGCCTCACAAGACGGAAAACCCGCTAGACGAAAGGGTTTTCTGTTTTTGAGTTGCTTCGCAGAACGAATTTCCCTATGGGCTTGCTTCGCAAGACGAAAATGTCTTGCGAGTCTTGAGATTTTTTTTTCGCTTTCCCCCCCCTTTTTCTAAGCCGCTAAGCCTTTAATAGCCTTTTAGCAGCTAAACCGATAAGCCGATAAGCCTTTAATAGCCGCTAAACTGCTAATAGCGCTAATCCGCTAAGCCGCTAATAGGGTTGCTTCGCAAGACGAAAAAACCGCTAGACGAAGACACTCGCGGAACGGATTAATTTCGTCTTGTGAGGCACCACTGTATTTCCCAAACAGGAGTTAACCATAGGAGTGTTACAAAGATTTGGTACCTGGGCTTGGCATAGCTGCCTGTCAAGTCCCATGCTCTAGTAGGGTGACCCTATGCTAATCCCTGAAGCCTCTTGCCTTGCCTTCTCCAATCACGAAACAGCGAGAGGAGAAGGAAGAGTAACCACTGTAGGCCTTTTTCTCTGTGGGAGGTGTGATTTGAGTCCAGAAGGAAGTGAATAATCTCTGCCGATAGAGGCACACTAAGAGCATCTAGCCCAGCAGCAGCTAATATGCTGGCCTCCAGATTTTTTTTTGGGGGGGGAACTACAACTCTTTCCTGGCTATACTAGCTGGATCTGATGAGAGTTGGAGTCCTGCAATAGGTGGAAGGAGCAACATTGGCTAGTCCTGATATATCCCAGGAATTGGCACTTGTGAGATGCCACCAGTTTTCCAAAGTCCTGCCCCTAAATGGGGTCCCAACACGTGAAACCTTGCTGTATAAAAAGGAGCATTTTGGATTACTTACTAGGAGTCATGATCCCCATAGTTATGGATATTGACTGCTGCTGTAATCCCACAGATGATGAGGGGGATCCCACCAGCTATCAGGTAGAATCTGAAACACAAAGAAAGTCACCACTGTTGATCTCCTGGATGTGGGAATTATACCTGCAAACCTTCCACGGGCTGGAGATGGAGAGAATAAGTCCCCCTCTCTTGGTTCAAAAAGGAGCAATCCACTCCCCAAAGGCACAAGAGTTGCCTTGTAAGAAGAGCTGCTGGATCAGGCCAATGGCCTGTCAAGTCCAGCATCCTGTTCTCACATTGGCCAGCCAGATGCCTGAGCACAACATCACTCTCCCCTTTGGTGGTTTCCAGTAACTGGTATTCAGAAGCATTACTGCCATCGTGACTAGTTTCCTCTTGAACCCAGTTTTGTAAACTTGGAGCAGGGGTGTCTCCTGCAGCCTACAGCTCCCTCCCTACGAGACCTTCTTCCTCGGTACCGTAGCATTGGACGGGGGGCTGGCTGGGGGGCTTCCCCTTCCTGCTGCTGTGGTGCCTTCCACGTGGCCTCCTTGTAGATCACTCTCACCATCACCGCCATCCACAGAAGAGTCGACAAGGCAGAGTAGTGCAGAATGATGCCAACCTGTAGGGAGTAAAGGCAGAGGACACAGTCATCTCCTGTGGGTCAGTTGCACTCAAGGGCTGGGAGACACTTGCCAGATCTGGGATGGAATGCTCCATGACAACGGCGCTTCCAAGAACGCTGTCGGCAATGATGCCATCTCTGTGTTATTTATTCCATTTAATAATGTGATGCCATGCCCACGGGGCATTCTTACAGAGGCAAAGGCAGCCTGCTGCTGTTTCCTTTGGGTTCAACACCAGTGTGCCACTGAAAAGACAACTGCTTGCCCACAGGATGAGGTCCTCCTTGCCATACTCAGCAACGATTACATTATTACATGAGCACTGTTCCACAGCATTTTATATTTTCATTTACATACATTCATTCAAAATAAGATGGGTTTATGAAGCAATTCTATATCCTCCCACCACGCTGACGAAGAATTCTACGAGACAGTAGTCTATATCCGGAATCACTGTTCAGTGTCGGACATTATATTTGCTGAATACACAAAGCTTCACAGCTTGTCTTTCATTGTACAAAGTCTGGTACCTTGCTTCATTTAAAGATTTTCAGAGACTTTAGGACTAAAGATATCATTTTGGACTTGTTATGGTTTGAAGGAATTCTATAAAAGATTGTTTATTGCGTATGTACAGGGTCATCGTGTTGCCTATACATTGATGACATACTCACCGCTTGGCAGATGACCACGTAGTTGGTAAGGGTGACGCCCCCCGCGAAAACGGCCGACGTCATGGCAATGTGAAAGCAGAGGTTGAGCAGCATGTGCCAGCACTTCCGGGAAATGTGAATGGTGCTGCGGGAAAAACAGGCACAAAAGGAAGGTGGGTGGAAGAGCCGAGGAAGGACCACAGGCCGGCGGCAGGTAGAGCGGAAGGCAAGGTACACCAACAGCAGGTAGATTTGCGGCCAAGGACAGCGAATTCCGGATCCATCCCCATCCTCCCCCCCGCTGAGTCCTACAAAGTTGACACTGAGACAAAGGAGGAGGTGGGAGAAGCTGGCAGGCAGAGACACCCGCTGGCCTTGTTGCAAGTAAGAAGCCCAGGACATGGGGGCAGGATGAGGCCAGGCGAGGGAGATGGGGCAGGATACTCACCTGTGGTTGATGATGTACGTGATGATGGTGGCGAAGAGGCACAGGAGGAGGAGCGCAGTGCAGCTGTAAATGACAGGGTGCAGCACCTCAGCTGGGCTCGGGGACTCACGTGGAAAGTTGCTCAGTTCCTGTGTTTGAGAATAATAATAATAATTTATTTCTTATACCCCAGCCACTCTGGGCGGCTTCCAACAAAACACAGAGGGGGGAGGGAAGCCTCAACTATGAAACACTTCCCAGAACAGGACAGCCTTCAGATGTCTTCTAAAAGTTGTGTAGTTCTTTATCTCCTTGGCACCTGATGGGAGGGTGTTCTGCAGGGAGGGCACCACTGCTGAGAAGGCCCTCTGCCTGGTTTCCTGCAACCTCACTTCTCGCAGTGAGGGAACCGCCAGAAGGCCCTCAGAGCTGGACCTCAGCGTCCGGGCTGAACGATGGGGGTGGAGACACTCCTTCAGGTATGCTGGGCTGAGACTGTTTAGGGCTTTAAAGGTCAGCACCAACACTTTGAATAAGGTCCAACAGAGCGCAGTGGTTAGAAATTAAGGCAGCTTAATTTAAATTAAAGCACTGAGGGGGATCTCGGTGTTCCAGCTCCTGTGGAGAGTTCACTACCTGCATGGCAGCCTTAGCTGAATATGTTGGGAAACTGTGTACGTGCAGCTACTCACACAGAGTCAATTCAGGTTTGGCAGACAGCCAGAAGGCAATCTGAAGGAGTAAGTCTGCCTGGTGATAACAGAGACATGTAGACAGCTTCCTGATTGGTCAAGCTCTCTCAAGGGAGTAATGGCCTACTAACTGGGATGTGTTAGTTCAGTATTTCAGAGTTCAGTAGTTCTGTGTCAGTGTAGGAGCTGTGAGTGGTGTATGAGAGAGCTAGCTAAAGATCCATGTTCTGTTCCTGTATATAGTCCACTGTATATAATAAACACCTAACTACAAGTTCCTGGTTCCTGCTTCGTCTATCCCGTCTGCAGCCAAATCGCCAATTGCTTCCGTGGATTCTGCATTTACTCTGCTAGGTCTGGCTAAGGTCCTGCAACTAGTCAGAAAGTTGCAAAACACCAAATAGGTTTTGCCAATAGAATATAACTGGGCAAAGCAACCCAAACCTCCCTTGGGCTGGGCGGGTGCTGGATTAGGTGGGCCAACCCACCCCACCCCCCATGCCTCACCATCAGCACAGCGACGTTGCCAAGGTGCCGGCAGCTGACGGTGGTGACGTTGGGCTCCAGGCCAATCAGCTGGCAGCCTTCAGCTCTCCAGCCCCCGTACCCAGCCAGCACGTCAAAGTCCCAGGAAG